GCACGAGCACATGCCACACGCCACGCGCACACACACACACACACCACGAGCACATGCGCACCGCACACGCGACGTCTCACCATCTCGCGCAGGATGCTGGACAGCTCCTGCACCATCTCGCCGTACTTGAGCTTCAGCTCCTCGTGGTACTCCTGCTGGTCCTCCTTGATGAGCGTCTCGTTGAGCTCCAGCGCGGAGCCGCACACCACCACGAACTGCCTACAGGTCGCACGATGATCACCGTCGTCGCCGGGGTTAGCACCAGCGTCGTCACGGTCATCACAATCGTCGTCATTATCGTCGTCGTCATCACCGTGATCACCATCGCCGTTGTCACCACCACCATCATCATCACCGTCGTCACGGTCGTCGTAATTGTCGTCGTCGTCGTCGTTGTCGTCGTTACTGTGATCACCGTCGCTGTTGTCACCACCATCATCGTCGTCACAATCACTGTAATTATCCTCGTCAACATCGTCGTCCCTGTCGTCACAATCATTGCCGTGGTCGCCATCGCCATTGGCATCACCATCATCGCCATCGTCAGAATCATCATAATTATTGTCGTCACCATCACTGTCGTCATCATTATCGTCATCAACATCATCAACATCATCACCATCGTCACCGTCATCATCGTCGCCATCATCACCACCATCGTCGTCGTCACCACCACCATCGTCGTCGTCACCATTGTCGTCAAAGTCATCATCACCACCATCGTCATCGCCATCATCGTCACCGTCAAAATCGTCATCGTAACAATGTTTGGCAAACATCAGCGCCACGCCGCGGCGATCCAAGCACACGCAAACACGCCAACTAACACCGCGCTGACCAGAAGCGTCGACCCGTGACCTCTCCGTATCATCATTGTTGGCGGTAGGGGGCGAGGGAGGGGGGGGGGGGGCATCCCGAGGAACTCGTGGGTTCGTTGGATCCGTCGTGACGCCGACTTAACCGTGCAGGAGGCCTCCTCCTCCGTGTTTCCGACGACGACGACGATGATGATGATGGACGACGATGACGACAGCACAACGCTTGATAACCACCCCTTTAAGAGTCTTTCTCACCCGCGAAGCTTCAAACTGCAGTTAGACGGCGTGGGACGCACGGCCAGGCTAAGCGTCGGCCGCTAGCTCAGTTCGCTCTACGCGACTCTCTTAACGCGTCCGTGCGTGCGCGCTGCTGCTGCTGCCGCTGCTGCCGCACCTGAAGAGGTCTCGGAGCTCCTCCACGCTCTCCTCCGGGTACTTTGCGCAGTTGCTCTCATCCAGGAACGCTCTGGCGTACGCGAGGGGTCCCGCGTTCACCTGGGCGAGACATTGCCGTGTCAGCAGATCGTCGTCATCTTCGTCATCTTCGTCGTCTTCGTCGTCGTCACACACGATGCTGGGATAAGGACTCCCCCAAGCCGTTGCCATCTCTCATGCACCTGCGTCATACACACCTGGCACCTGGCGTCTCACCTGCGTCATACACACGTAACACCTGGCGTCTCACCTGCACGATACACACCTGGCAGCTGACGTCTCACCTGCATGACACACACCTGGCACCTGACGTTTCACCTGCGTTATACACACCTGGCACCTGGTGTCTCACCTGCATCACACACACCTGGCACCTGACGTCTCACCTGCATCACACACACCTGGCACCTGACGTCTCACCTGCATCACACACACCTGGCACCTGACGTCTCACCTGCATGACACACACCTGGCACCTGGCGTCTCACCTGCATCATACACACCTGGCACCTGACGTCTCACCTGTGTGACACGCACCTGGCACCTGGTGTCTCACCTGCGTCATACACACCTGGCACCTGACGTCTCACCTGCATCATACACACCTAACACCTGACGTCTCACCTGCATGACCACACACCTGGCACCTGGTGTCTCACCTGCGTCATACACACCTAACACCTGGCATCTCACCTGCATGACACACACCTAACACCTGACGTCTCACCTGCGGCATACACACCTGGCACCTGGCATCTCACCTGCATGACACACACCTGGCACCTGACGTCTCACCTGCGTCATACACACCTAACACCTGGTGTCTCACCTGCATCATACACACGTAACACCTAGCGTCTCACCTGCGTCATACACACCTGGCACCTGACGTCTCACCTGCGTGATACACACCTGGCACCTGGTGTCTCACCTGCGTCATACACACGTAACACCTGGCGTCTCACCTGCGTGCTGACGCTGCCCTGCAGCTTGAGCTGCAGCTGGATCATGTTGGCAGGCGACTCGGAGCAGAGGGTGCTCAGCTCCTCCACCTTGCTGCGCATGCTGTCCACCGCCACCTGCACGGGCCCCAAACTCCTCGTGCAGGCGCGCCACACGGGCACGCGCTTGCGCACGTGCGGGAAACGTGTGCGACGCTGGGGAGAGGCGGGTGGGGAGAGTGCGCGGCGGGGCGGTGTGGAAGTGGGAAGGGTGGTGGTGGTGGACGTGGTGGTGGTGGTGGTGATGGTGGTGATGATGGTGATGGTGGTGATGGTGGTGATGGTGGTGATGATGGTGGTGGTGGTGGTGATGATGGTGGTGGTGGTGATGGTGGTGGTGGTGGTGATGGTGGTGATGGTGGTGATGGTGGTGATGATGGTGGTGGTGGTGGTGATGATGGTGGTGGTTGGTGATGGTGGTGATGATGGTGGTGGTGGTGGTGATGATGGTGGTGGTGGTGGTGATGATGGTGGTGGTGTGATGGTGGTGGTGGTGGTGATGATGGTGATGGTGTGATGGTGGTGATGGTGGTGATGATGGTGGTGGTGGTGGTGATGATGGTGGTGGTGGTGATGGTGGTGATGATGGTGGTGGTGGTGGTGATGATGGTGGTGGTGGTGATGATGGTGGTGGTGGTGATGGTGGTGGTGGTGGTGATGATGGTGATAGTGGTGGTGATGGTGGTGATGGTGGTGGTGGTGGTGATGATGGTGGTGGTGGTGATGGTGGTGATGATGGTGGTGGTGGTGGTGATGATTGGTGGTGGTGGTAATGATGGTGGTGGTGGTGATGGTGGTGGTGGTGGTGATGGTGGTGGTGGTGGTGGTGGTGATGGTGGTGATGGTGGTGATGATGGTGGTGATGATGGTGGTGATGGTGGTGATGATGGTGATGGTGTGGTGATGGTGGTGGATGGTGGTGGTGGTGATGATGGTGGTGGTGGTGATGGTGGTGGTGATGATGATGGTGGACATGGTGGTGGTGGTGATGGTGGTGGTGGTGATGATGATGATGTTGGTGGACATGGTGGTCGTGGTGATGGTGGACATGGTGGTGGTGATGATGATGGTGGTGGACATGGTGGTGATGATGATGGTGGACATGGTGGTGGTGGTGATGATGGTGGTGGTGGATATGATGGTGGACATGATGATGGTGGTGGTGGTGGACATGATGGTGGAGGTGATGGTGGGGGACATGGTTTTGGTGGACATGGTTTTGGTGGACATGGTGGTGGTGGTGATTGTGGTGGTGATGGTGGTGGTGGATATGATGGTGGTGGTGGTGGACATGGTGGTGATGATGATGGTGGTGGTGATGGTGGTGGTGGACATGGTGGTGGTGATGGTGGACATGGTGGTGATGATGATGGTGGTGGTGATGATGGTGGTGGTGGACATGGTGGTGGTGATGGGGATGATGATAACGATGTTGGTAGTGTGGGAGGTTATAGTGTGGGTGGGTGATGGTGATGATATTGTGGTGGTGACATTGGACACGTGGTGGTGGTGTTAGTGGGCATGGTGTTGATGGTGCACGGGAAGAGACAAAGAAGGGAAATAAGATTGATATCCTTCAAACTGCATGCCGCCGATACCATGCGAGTACTCTTGACTACAGAAGTATCAAGGCCATCATCCACTTGCATAACTGAGGAATAGATCTGCGCGATGCTGTTGTGACAATGCCCTTCCACGGCACCACGTCGCGCACACAGCCCAGTGTCCGCGTGTTGGCATCACGGCAATTTTGCCGACCGCTGGCAAAAAAAATAAAATTTCACCGCTACGAAGTTGGCCGATGTTTGTTCTTGCGTGTGTGCGTGTGTCCTGTGGGGAGCGGTGGTGCAGCGGTTAGCACGCCGAGCTTCGAATCCAGCGACGCGAGTTCCATTCCCGTTCGCGGCAACAAACACCAGTGGCGATTATCTGAACCGTTCCTGAGCATCCCTTAGGGCGACTCAGCCTGAAATTAATACCTGATGCAATGTGCAAACATCGCCAGTGGGGAGACAAAGGTGGCCGGACGTGGTGCCGGTGGTGGGGTGGTGGGTGGGTGGTGGGTGGGTGGTGGGTGGGTGGTGGGTGGGTGGTAGGTGGTGGGTGGGTGGTGGGGTGGTGGGGGGGTGGTGGGTGGGTGGTGGGGTGGTGGGTGGGTGGTGGGTGGGTGGTGGGTGGGTGGTGGGTGGGTGGTAGGTGGTGGGTGGGTGGTGGGTGGTGGGGGGGTGGGTGGTGGTAGGGTGGTGGGGTGGTGGGTTGGTGGGTGGGTGGTGGGGGGGTGGTGGGTTGGTGGGTGGTGGGTGGTGGGTGGTGGGTTGGTGGGTTGGTGGGGTGGGTGGGTGGGTGGATGGTGGGTGTGGGTGGTAGGGTGGTGGGGTGGTGGGTTGGTGGGTTGGTGGGATGGTGGGTGGCGCTCACTGGTGAGCACGGTGCGGCGCTTGCACTGCTCCGTGACGTCCCCGTGCTTCCGCCCGAGGCGGTGTAGGGCGTCTCGAACACGAAGCGCCGCACGTTGTGGCCGCGCTCGAAGTCGGTGCGCCGCGCGGCCTGCTCGGCGCCGCTGAAGAAGGGCTGCACGAACGTGATCTGGATGTAGGCGAGGCGCGGGTCCAGCTCCGACGCGTCCACCTGTGGCGGCGAGATGTTGATTACCTCGCCTGGTACGCAGGAGGTCGTGGGTTCGATCCCTGACCCTGACGCCTGTTGTATGCGGAGTTTGTGTGTTCTCTCTCGCTCATCATCATCATCAGGGTTGCCAGGAGATGTTAACTGCCTCGCCTGGTACGCAGGAGGTCGTGGGTTCGATCCCCGACCCCGACGCCTGCTGTATATGTGGAGTTTGCGTGTCTCTCTCGCTCATCATCATCACGGTGGCCAGGAAATGTTAACTGCCTCGCCTGGTATGCAGTAGGTCGTGGGTTCAATCCCCGATCCTGACGCCTGTTGTATGTGGAGTTTGTGTGTCTCTCGCTCATTATCATTAGGGTGGCTAGGAGATGTTAACTGCCTCGCCTGGTACGCAGGAGGTCGTGGGTTCGATCCCCGACCCTGACGCCTGCTGTGTATTTGGAGTTTGCGTGTCTCTCTCTCTCTCTCATCATCATCACGGTTGCCAGGAGATGTTAACTGCCTCGCCTGGTATGCAGGAGGTCGTGGGTTCGATCCCCGACCCCGACGCCTGCTGTGTATTTGGAGGTTGCGTGTCTCTCTCGCTCATCATCATCACGGTGGCCAGGAAATGTTAACTGCCTCGCCTGGTATGCAGGAGGTCGTGGGTTAGATCCCCGACCCTGATGCCTGTTGTATATGTAGAGTTTGTGTGTTCTCTCTCATCATCACAGTGACGAGGAGATGTTAACCTGCCTCGCCTGGTACGAAGAATTTGTGGGTTCGATCCCGACTCTGACGCCTGTTGTATATATGGAGTGTCCGTGTTATTTTTCTCTCTTATTGTGGTCGCATGGATTTTTCTCCGGACCCTCCAGTTCTTTCCCTCCAACATTTACAACCAATGTCACGCGTTTCAGAGTATTTGGCTGCTATAAATTTCCACCTGAAAAGCCCCTTCATTGAGCTATCATTTGTGGCCAGGTCGCTTCTGAAAAAGAGCTATACAACTCAGTGGGGCCTTACCTGGTAAAACTTTTTTTTAGGAATTTTTTTTCGTAATATAGTATACAGTAAAACCTTGGATTGTGAGCATAATTTGTTCCAGCGACATGTTTGTAATCCAAAGCACTCGTATATCAGTTGTGATCACGTGACGCTAGGCAGACAAAGCGTACACACGTACTACTCGTATTGCAAGACCTCGCTCGTTTATCAAATTAATGTTTATTTAAAAATTTTGCTCGTCTTGCAAAACACTCGCAGACCAAGTTACTCGCAAGCCAATCTTTTACTCTACCTCCAGAGAGCCCCTGTCCCTGGACGACGATGTCTTAGATCGATTTAAACAAGGGGGGAGCGAGTTTCTTCAGCCCCTTTGTCCCCACCCTGTCTACCCAAGCAGGACATTCCAATTCAGTGGGTTAACGCCACGGCGAGTCCCATCGGCGAGTTGCGCGTGTGTTGGGGTAAAGTGGAGCTACTCCCACCTCTATGGAGACCCTCTTGGCCGGCATTGGAAAGTGGGACCCAAATGCCCTCCTCCAGAGGGGACCTCTGCCCGGCATTGGCGTGACGGAGTCAGAGTTATCCGGCACTTTTACCATTCCCCAGATGGTGAGCGAGAACTTGATGCGATTGTCTTGAGCGGTGCATCGTCGTTATCATCGTCACCATTTCATCATCGTCACCATTGTCGTCATCGTCGTCATCGTCACCATCGTCATCATCGTCACAAATGTCATCATCGTCATCATCGTCACCAATGTCATCATCATCACCATCGTCATCATCATCACCATCGTCACCATCGTCACCATCGTCACCATCGTCACAAATGTCACCATCGTCACCATTGTCGTCATCGTCGTCATCGTCACCATCGTCATCATCGTCACCAATGTCATCATCATCACCATCGTCATCATCATCACCATCGTCACCATCGTCACCATCGTCACAAATGTCACCATCGTCACCATCGTCACCAATGTCACCATCGTCACCATCGTCACCATCGTCACCAATGTCATCATCGTCACCGTCGTCACCGTCGTCACCATCGTCACCGTCGCCACCATCATCATTATTGTCAATATTATAGTGACGTATCCTGACGAGAAAACTCGGGGTGCCCTGGCCCACACAGTGGGAGCGGTGGACATGCCGCGATGACGATTATGAGAATAACGATGATGACGACGACGATGATGGCGATGATGACAATTATGATGATAATGATGAAGACAATTATGATAATGATCATGTTAATAACGATGATCATGATGATGACAATGATTATGGTGTCGATGATGTTGAAGATGATGATGACGACGACGACGACAATGATGATGATGATGATAATCACGATGATGATGACATTTATGGCTATGATCATGACGACAACGATGATGACGACAACAATGATGACGACAACGAAAATAACGACGGTGACAATGATGGCGATCATCATGACGACGACGATGATGATGACGATTACGACGATGAAGATGACGACGACGATGAAGATGATGACGACGACGACGACGACGACCTCTCACCGGGTTCGAGTCCTGGATGATGCGCACGTTCTGCGAGCCGAACTTGTCGGCGTAGAGCAGCTGCAGACGCTGGGAGATCTCGGAGAGGCCCGTGAGCTTGGGCTCCTTGTAGATGTACTCCTTCCACTCGTCCTCCTCGAAGTAGCCCTGGGTGGGGGGAAGGTGGCCAGAGGGGGTGGACACGGCAATAGACCACGGAGCAAACAGCAACAGCGGCCGCTCGCCACCTAAGATCAACGTCTCCCGACCATAAAAATGAATGCTACAACTACTACTACTCCACGCCATCTGCGCCATCACCTCCCCTGAAGGGCTTCTTCCCCAGTTTCCATTTCTAATGTCCAGCTCTCTGACCTGCCGAGTAGCGCTGGCGTTACTCCGGCCACACGCGTGCATCTGCCAGCACTAAAGTTGCCGTTTTACTCTTTCACTGCAATAGCGGTGTAACATTTCGCCCACCCCCATCCCCCGGATAATCGATGCAAGCTGACACTGCGACTGGACTGGTGACACAAGCTGACATGGCGACTGGACTGGTGACACAAGCTGACACGGCAACTGGACTGGTGACACAAGCTGACACAGCGACTGGACTGGCGACACAAGCTGACACAGCAACTGGACTGGTGACACAAGCTGACACAGCGACTGGACTGGCGACACAAGCTGACACAGCAACTGGACTGGTGACACAAGCTGACACGGCGACTGAACTGGCGACACAAGTTGACACAGCGACTGGACTGGCGACACAAGCTGACACAGCGACTGGACTGGTGACACAAGCCGACACGGCGACTGGACTGGCGACACAAGCTGACACGGCGACTGGACTGGTGACACAAGCTGACACAGCGACTGGACTGGTGACACAAGCTGACACGGCGACTGGACTGGCGACACAAGCTGACACAGCGACTGGACTGGTGACACAAGCTGACACGGCGACTGGACTGGGGACACAAGCTGACACGGCGACTGGACTGGCGACACAAGCTGACACAGCGACTGGACTGGTGACACAAGCTGACACAGCGACTGGACTGGTGACACAAGCTGACACGGCGACTGGACTGGCGACACAAGCTGACACAGCAACTGGACTGGTGACACAAGCTGACACAGCAACTGGACTGGTGACGCAAGCTGACACAGCAATTGGACTGGTGACACAAGCTGACACAGCGACTGGACTGGCGACACAAGCTGACACAGCGACTGGACTGGCGACACAAGCTGACACAGCGACTGAACTGGTGACACAAGTTGACACAGCGACTGGACTGGCGACACAAGCTGACACAGCGACTGCACTGGTGACACAAGCTGACACGGCAACTGGACTGGTGACACAAGCTGACACGGCAACTGGACTGGTGACACAAGCTGACATGGCGACTGGACTGGTGACACAAGCTGACACGGCAACTGGACTGGTGACACAAGCTGACACAGCGACTGGACTGGCGACACAAGCTGACACAGCAACTGGACTGGTGACACAAGCTGACACGGCGACTGAACTGGCGACACAAGTTGACACAGCGACTGGACTGGCGACACAAGCTGACACAGCGACTGGACTGGTGACACAAGCTGACACGGCGACTGGACTGGCGACACAAGCTGACACAGCGACTGGACTGGTGGCACAAGCTGACACAGCGACTGGACTGGTGACACAAGCTGACACGGCGACTGGACTGGCGACACAAGCTGACACAGCAACTGGACTGGTGACACAAGCTGACACAGCGACTGGACTGGTGACGCAAGTTGACACAGCGACTGAACTGGCGACACAAGCTGACACAGCGACTGGGACTGGTGACACAAGCTGACACAGCAACTGGACTGGTGACGCAAGTTGACACAGCGACTGGACTGGCGACACAAGCTGACACGGCGACTGGACTGGTGACACAAGCTGACACAGCAACTGGACTGGTGACGCAAGCTGACACAGCAATTGGACTGGGGACACAAGCTGACACAGCGACTGGACTGGCGACACAAGCTGACACAGCGACTGGACTGGCGACACAAGCTGACACAGCGACTGAACTGGTGACACAAGCTGACACAGCAACTGGACTGGCGACACAAGCTGACACAGCAACTGAACTGGTGACACAAGCTGACACAGCAACTGAACTGGTGACACAAGCTGACACAGCAACTGGACTGGTGACACAAGCTGACACGGCGACTGGACTGGTGACACAAGCTGACACGGCGACTGGACTGGTGACACAAGCTGACACGGCGACTGGACTGGTGACACAAGCTGACACAGCAACTGAACTGGTGACATAAGCTGACACAGCAACTGAACTGGTGACACAAGCTGACACAGCAACTGAACTGGTGACACAAGCTGACACAGCAACTGGACTGGCGACACAAGCTGACACGGCGACTGGATTGGTGACACAAGCTGACACGGCGACTGAACTGGCGAAACAAGCTGACACAGCGACTGAACTGGCGACACAAGCTGACACGGCGACTGGACTGGCGACACAAGCTGACACGGCGACTGGACTGGCGACACAAGCTGACACGTCAGCTGACACAAGCAAGCGCGGCGACGGTAGCATTGTCCGGGATCATCGATGCGGTACGGCTATGCAGCTTTGTTGCCCTGGCTGTAACCGGGCTGCAAATGTAGACGCTGGGATCGAGTTTCATTCAGATGATTGCTTTGCTCAATCGCATCTGGGTCGCGACACTGGAGAGATCGTTCACACATTCCCGTCGAAAACGTCTCTCGCAGCGAGCGGCGCGCCACTTTGCGGCAGAGAACAGCGGCCGGGAAGGTGACGTCACCTGGACAGACCCACCCGGAGCACATCGTCGCTAGGGCTGGAAGATAAGTGGCAAAGCGGTACGATGGATTATTCTGGGTCTCGTGCAGTTGTCAGCGACACAGCTGAGACCACCGACTGCCTACGCTGGTGGCCAGGGTAAAACCCGGATTCGAACCCGGGATCTGGATCAGCGGTTGCTGGCCCGGTGCCCCGATGTGGTACCTAGGACTCTCTCAAGGTCTAATTACCGCCATTCTTCATCCTGAGTGGTTGGTTAGAAGAAATGAACTACAATGCCTTGCTGATCGCGTTAAGGAGTATAAACTATCACCACGCGAACTCCGGTCATCATCGCAGCAGCAGCAGCGGCGGCTTTTGGCTAGCCTTCGAACAAAGTCACCACATCGCACACTTTCAGATGCGCTTCTGAGGGTGTCTGGAATGCTCTTCCTTCTATGCACTTTTAAATAATCGAGATTGAAAACGAATTTCTTTAGAACTGCCTTTTTGCGTTTAGTTTGTTGTCTTTCCCCCGCACCTACGATTAGCACGGTTGGTTAGGTGCGGCGCGAAAGAAGTTCAACGTACTCTTTGGGTCTTTCGGTAAAGTCACGTAGAACAAAAACATTTACAAAAAACTACGACGTTTCGAATGCAACACAAGCAATCGTCACCATTTGTAAAAAAAAATGTTCCACGTGACTTTACCGAAAGACCCAAAGAATATGAATTTCTGCAGTCACGAAAGCTTTAAGTCAAGATTTAAGTTCAACGTACATTCCCTCCCCACGCCCCGCACTGCTGCACACAAGAAGCGGGAAGCTGTTAGCGATACAAGCACTCGGCGGTAGTTCTATGAAGCCCGTGAGAAAAAAAAAAGCTTTAGTGTGTTTTGTCGCCAGATTTGTAAAACATTGACCTCACTCCTCGGTGAGACTTACGTACCACGGCCTACACACACGAACGATCACAGAGGAGGAGAGAAAATGAAACGTGAAAATACGCACACAACTTACATCGATCGTGCTCATTGTGAAATGGGAATAGAGTTTATAGAAACAGATGGCCGGTGGGGAGACTGCCATCACAGTATTGGGATCACAGTAGTACAGTAAAACCTTGGATTGCGAGTAACTTGGTCTGCGAGTGTTTTGCAAGACGAGCACATTTTTAAAATAAATATTAATTTGATAAACGAGCGAGGTCTTGCAATACGAGTAGTACGTGTGTGCGCTTCGTCTGCCGAGCGTCACGTGATCACAACTGATATACGACGAGTGCTTTGGATGACATTTCCGGAACGAATTATGCTCGCAATCCAAGGTTTTACTGTACATCATACTAAACAATATTTATTGACATTCCTTTATCGATCCACTGCTGGATGAAGGCCTTCTCCCACACCGTCTGAGACGTGGGGAGGGCGGTATTTGACTATACCTCAACACGCTGGTCAGCGACAGTTGTGTAAATCGACGTGGGAACATACGAGTACAGTACAACAATGGATTTTGTTACGGTACCCTCTGCTGCTGTGCGACACATCCATGTACATACATCCATAATGGAGATTGTTTTTGGGGTTAGATCGCGTCAATATAAATGTGTCGTTAAACACGCCACCACTCGCGACAGCCAATTAGTAAGGTTTGTCACGTAAACAGAAGGTGCCCGTTCGTTACTAGCTCACCACAGCGGTTGTGAGTTGGGGAGTAAACCCACAACATTTACAATCCGAGTACCATGGCGTCTCGTCAGTAATTACAACCAGCATCACCAGGCGATCTTAAATAGACGACGCTAAATGTGACGCCGTCACTTGTGAGCCAATCGGGTGGATCATATTTGTCGCGAAAGCCTACGTGTGAAAACGTACGTACGTATACAGTACGTAGAATTCTATATCTAATTTGATATATATATAAATATATATATAAATGCAGTTGGGTAGCAGGGGCTCATGAGCAAGCCTGGTGCTGTAGCTTGACCGTGTGTCAATGGGGGGGGGAGGGGGGGGGGGGGAACGGGGGAGGAGGGTTATGGGTGGGGGGCCACGGCACGACACGGTCAACATTCAACAAACGTCACACGAACGTCGAGCGAGTAAGGCCCACAGCCTGCCTTGACCGACCGTGCGCTCTGCTCTCTCTCACCTCTCTCTCACGCCCGGTGCGCTTGAACCAAAGCTGGGCAAGCCCATCGCTTAACAAAACTCATCGCATTACTTGACTGAAGGTGGGGGAGGGGGGGGGTGACCGGGGGGGGGGGGCTAGCCCGCTCCAGCACCCCTCCCTCCAATGCTACTACGGTGGCCGCCCCACCAACGCCAACGAGGAGCTCACCAACAACCACGGAGACCCGCACCACCAAAAGCCAGCCCCCTCCCGCCCCCTCCAGCCCCCTCCAGCCCCCTATGTTAGGGCGCTGGCTGCCAACTGCTCGGTGCGTCGAGAGCGAGTGACCGGTTGTGGATGTTGCCTCTCACCTGCCCGAAGAAGGCCACGCGGAAATAGGTGCCCAGCAATCGTCGGCACGTCCGCGTGGCGTCCAGGATCTGGTCGTAGGCCTTGTGCAGGGCCATGTAGAGATCGCTCAGTTTCTGTGCACACCAAGACAAAGATCCCGCCCCGGGCCGCCGTGTAGCCTTTAACGGACTGTCGGGGCAAGCGCCGTTCGTAGCGAGTAGCGGCACCTACGAAGGCCAGCGCTGTGGCACGCGAGGGGCTGGGTGGCGGACAGCACCACGCCTGGCCGCCACCGTCTCCCCAGTGGCGAACGTTTACTACGCGCCGCGCCCAGGTACTCAAGGCGGAGGCCCAGGACCGGTTCAGATAATCGTCACCGGCATTGGCCGCGAGGGGTGAATCGAACGCGGCTCGCCACGGTTCGTAGCGCGGCAGGCTAACCCTCTGCGCCGCCGCTCCCCACCCTGTTCAGACGCACGCACAGCCACAGGCGTACGTTGCGCGGGGAGTGCTGGGGGTGAGCGTGGTGGGGGTGAGCGTGGTGGGGTGCCCCCCCCCCCATTCTAAAAGCTTTGTCTCGGTGGCGGCCGTGTCTGTATCCTCTTGCGCGACGCGGAGCACCGCCGGGCACCTGGAAGTCGCGGCGGTGCTCGTAGATGGGGATGATCATCTTGTAGATGTCGGCCATGAGCTCGAAGCGCTCGGCGCGCTCCAGCATGTGGGCGCACGTCTCCAGCTGCTCCACCAGCATGTCCTGCGGGCACAGCGGGAAGTCCTCATCACCAACCACGATGACCTCACCACCAACCACGATGACCTCACCACCAAACCCCGCAACTACCTGCGTTTGAAGCGGTAGATCTCAGCCGTTGCCAAATTAAAATAATAACGTTCACAACTATTCTTGCTACAACTTCTACAACTTTCGATTTAAAGCTTTCGTGACTGCAGGGATTCATCTTCTTGGTTCTTTCGGTAAAGTCACGTAGAAGGGAATTAATAAAATAATAAAATAAAACATAATAAAATAATTATCACGACGTTTCGGCCACAACGCAAGCAGCCGTCCTCAGGTGAGGACGGCTGCTTGCGTTGTGGCCTCAGGTGAGGATGGCTGCTTGCGTTGTGGCCGAAACGTCGTGAGAATGATTTAATGTTTTATTTTTATTATTTTATTATTTCCCTTCTACGTGACTTTACCGAAAGAACTTCTACAACGCTGCGCGTAATGAAAGGGGGGGGTGGGGGGGGATCCGCGACACGGCACGTTGTGCGTAGCCGTCCCCGTCACGGCGCACCTCGCTGAAGTGCACGTCCTGGGTGCCGCACTCATCGTCCTCGGCGGTCTCCTCGTCCGTCACGTTGGGCGTGATGCTCTCGAACGCCGCGATGCCCTGCATCAGCACGCCTGGACACACGCACGCCGACAACAACGACGACCGCCATTCACCACCGAGTGCCGGGGGGAACGTAACCGCGATTGCTGCACTTTGGGGCCTACGCAGAGTGGCAGGCGCCCTGCATCAGCGCACACAGGCACCACACGCACGCACCACACGCGCTCGCCACACGCACACCAACAATGACCGCCCGCCGGCCAATCACCACCGAGTGCCGGGGATATCACCGCGATGGCTGATCTTTGGAGCTACACGGAGTGGCATTATACCCACTGGCAAGTTACAGAAGAAATCCGTGCGTTGTGGGGGTTTAACTAGCAGATGCACCGCCTGTGCCACCTGGCTTCCAGGCGCCACGGTGGCAAGATGTTAACTCCCGCGCCTGGTATGCAGGAGGTCGTGGGTTCGATTCCGACCCTGACGCCTGCTGTATATCTCTCTCCCCACATTTAGAATCAACATTTGGCTGCTATAATTTCCACTTGATAAGCCACTTCGTTGAGCTATCATTTGTGGCCAGGTCGCTTCTGAAAAGGAGCTACGTAGCTCAGTGGGCCTGACCTGGTAAAATAAAAATAATAGCTTAAGTGTAATTATTTTGTTTTATATGCCCGGCACTCCGCTCATTGTTGTGAGCGTCGCTCCTCCGCCCCTCCGTTGTTTGCTGGAGGGCGGCTGCCTCAAACCGTGCAGAAATATCCTTCAAGAGCCTCCCTCTGCAGGTGGCCGATCTTGACACCGCTGGCACCAGCCATCGGCAAGTCCACTCAACTCGACATCCTCCAGTACCGCAGCAGCCCATCTCTTCCGTAGCCAGTGCCACTCGCTCGCCCCATAGACTCGCAAACTCACTCACCCCCTGGCTCACACATCAGTCCGCCTCTCTGCTCGCCCGCGCTGTGCTGCTTGGACCGTGCACGCAGCCTCGCCTGCCGGAGGCACTCGCTTGATACGGGGGGCCGTGCCACGCCATCAACTTGCGCGCCGCGCTGATAATAAACGGGCGATCGCTGTCGGCACTTGACCCCCCCCCCCCCACTCACTCTGGGTGTCGTGCAGCGTGTTGTTGCTGCTGCTGCTCTCGTCGGGGTCGTCCGCGTTGACGTCGGGGTTTGCGTCGGGCTCCGGCGGTCTCTCCACTCGCCCCTCGGCGTCGCACACGCCTGCGGTGAAATTAAATTAAACTGTAAAAACGTTTATTTTTACTACACAAGTAAGGCCCCACTGAGCTGCAGAGGGGTTTTTTTTTCAGAAGCGACCCTGGCCGTCACAAGATGATAGACCTACGAAGTGGCTTACTCTTAAACGCACGTTGTTTCTGAACGTGGAGGTGAAAAACCGGACGACCCGGAGAAAATCCACGCGACAACGGGGAGAACACGCAAACTCCAAATATACAGCAGGCGTCAGGGTCGGGATTGAACCCACAACCTCCTGTATACCAGGCGAGGAAGTTAACATCTCGCCTCCGTGCCAAGCTTCATAGGTGCTACTCACTGACAGCACTTGTCCCAACAGTCTGTTAAGGCTACACGGGGGATCTTTGTCTTTTGTCTTTGTGTGTCTCTGTGTGTGTGTATATGTCATCTCAGTCAGTCGACCCGTGGCACCTGCTGGGTCTGCCCCGTGACCTCCTGCCAGCGGGCGTTCGACAATTCACGTGGCCTCAAGGTGCACATAGCCTGGCACAAGCGCCGTGGTGACGTCACCACCACTTAGTGGCGAATGGCGGTTGTTGTTGTTGTGTATATCTGTGTGTGTGTACCTGTGTGTGTGTGTATCTGTGTGTGTATCTGCATCTGTGGTGGGGAGCGATAGTATAGCGGTTAGCACGCTGCGCTATGAACCCGGCGACACGGGTTCGATTCCCGCTCACTGCCAACATCAGTGACAATTATCTGAACCGGTCCCGGGCCTCCCCTAGGTCGACTCAGCCTCAAAATGAGTACCTGGTGCGGTGTGTAAACATTGCCACTAGGGAGACAAAGGCGGTCGGGCGTGGTGCTGGCCACCCACCCCCTCGTGTACCATTCCGGCCTTCATAGGTGCTCGCTAACAGCACTTGCCCCTACAGTCTGTTAAGGCTATACAGGGGATCTTTGCCTCTTTGTCTTTGTATCTGCATCTGTGTGTGTGTCTGTGTGTCTGTGCATATCTGTGCGTCTATATCCGTGTGACCGCTCACCTCTCCTCTTCAGATATTTCGCCATGAGTGCCGCGATGTGGATGTGACACATGGCAGCCTGCAGGACACACGCGGCGCCACCGTCATCGCCACGTCACAGCACAATCAACGCACAAAGCCCACCCACCCCCCCGAGTGATGATACCGAGACCCCATTAAGTCCGACACACGGAACACCCACGCCGGACCACCTTTGTGTGTTAGTGCTGCTGGTGTATGTGTGTGTGCTGCTGGTGCTGCTGTATGTGTGAGTGCTGCTGCTGTATGTGTGAGTGCTGCTGTTGTGTGTGCGAGCGCGGCTGGCGCTGCCGGCGCTGCACGCAGCGAGCGGCGGCGCCGTCGTCGGCGGCACCTCTGAGAGGTCCCCGTTGCGCTCGTGCATGCGCGCCATGCTCTCGAGCCAGGCCTTGCGCAGCTCGGCCATGCCCGCGTAGGAGGTGGCGAGACTGTGCTGCAGGTCGACCATCATCTCGGGGTCGCGCTCGTGCTCCTTCATCTGCAGCGTGGCCGTGAGGACGGCGCGCACGCGCTTCGTCAGCTCCTTCACCTGCCCCGCAAACGCGCTGCCCTGCGCACGCACACGCACACGCACACACACGCACACGGGCGTACATACACGTGCGCACAGAGATCCCACCCCCCACCCCGCATCCCGCATCCCCCACCACCCCGTTTAGCCTTTAACGGGCTGTTGGGGCAAGTGCTGTTAGCGAGCAGCACCTGTGAATGTCGACATGGCACGCAGGCAGGCGGGTGGCCGGCACCACGGCCGGCCACCTTTGAGATGGTGGCGATGATGGTGGGATGACGGTGGTGGCGGTGGCGATGATGGTGATGACAGTGACGATAATGGTGGTGGCGGTGGTGATGACGGTGGCAATGATGGTGGTGGCGGTGGTGATGATGGTGACGATGATGGTGGTGGCAGTTGTGATGACGGTGGTGGCGGTGGTGATGACGGTGACGATGATGGTGGTGGCGGTTGTGATGACGGTGGTGGCGGTGGTGATGACGGTGGTGGTGGTGGTGATGACGGTGACGATGATGGTGGTGGCAGTTGTGATGACGGTGGTGGCGGTGGTGATGACGGTGACGATGATGGTGGTGGCGGTTGTGATGACGGTGGTGGCGGTGGTGATGACGGTGGTGGTGGTGGTGATGACGGTGACGATGATGGTGGTGGCGGTGACGATGACGGTGGTGGCGGTGGTGATGACGGTGGTGGCGGTGGTGAGGGTGGTGATGACGGTGGTGGCGGTGGTGATGACGGTGATGGCGGTGGTGATGACTGTGGTCGCCGTGGTGATGACTGTGGTGGCGGTGGTGATGACGGTGGTGGCGGTGGTGATGACGGTGACAATGACGGTGGTGGCGGTGGTAATGACGATGGTGGCGGTGGTGGTGGCGGTGGTGATGATGGTGGTGGCGGTGGTGATGATGGTGGTGGCGGTGGTGATGACGGTGGTGGCGGTGGTGATGACGGTGGCAATGACGGTGGTGGCGGTGGTGATGACGGTGGTGGCGGTGGTGATGACGGTGGCAATGGAGGCGACGGTGGCTACGGCGGTGGCGCGTACCCTCACGGTGGTGTCGCTCGCCGCGTAGGCGTTGAGTGTGGAGAGCGCGCGCCGGAAGCGGGGGCCGCCCAGATCCCCGGCCTCGCTCATGAGGCGGCTCACGGCCACGATCACCTGCACGCACCGCGCCGGCAACATCGTCGCGTGTCGGCTCTCGCACCGGAGACTCGCTTGCAATGGCATCTCGCGCGCATCTCCTCGCCAGTTTACGTGTCGCTCTGTTGCTATATGTGTGCGCGTGGTGTGTGTGTGCGTGGTGGGTGTGTGTGGCGTGTGTGTGTGTGTGTGCGTGGTGTGCGTGATGTGCGTGGTGTGTGTGGTGTGCGTGGTGTGCGGGGTGAGTACCTGCGTGTGTGTGCGTGGTGTGTGTGCGTGGTGTGTGTGCGTGTGTGTGCGTGTTGTGTGTGCGTGGTGTGTGTGCGTGTTGTGTGTGCGTGGAGTGTGTGCGTGGTGTGCGTGTGTGCGTGTTGTGTGTGCGTGTTGTGTGTGCGTGGTGTGTGTGCGTGGTGTGCGTGGTGTGTGTGCGTGGTGTGTGTGGTGTGTGTGTGCGTGGTGTGTGTGCGTGGTGTGCGGGGTGAGCACCTGCGTGTGCGTGCGTGGTGTGTGTGCGTGGTGTGTGTGCGTGGTGCGTGGTGTGTGTGGGTGGTGTGTGTGGTGTGTGTGTGCGTGGTGTGTGTGCGTGGTGTGCGGGGTGAGCACCTGCGTGTGTGTGAGTGGTGTGTGTGCGTGGTGTGTGTGCGTGGTGTGTGTGTGTGGTGTGTGTGTGTGGTGTGTGTGCGTGGTGTGTGTGCGTGGTGTGTGTGTGTGCGGGGTGAGCACCTGCGTGTGTGTGAGTGGTGTGTGTGCGTGGTGTGTGTGCGTGGTGTGTGTGCGTGGTGTGTGTGCGTGGTGTGCGGGGTGAGCACCTGCGTGTGTGTGAGTGGTGTGTGTGCGTGGTGTGTGTGTGTGGTGTGTGTGTGTGGTGTGCGTGATGTGTGTGGGTGGTGTGTGTGCGTGGTGTGCGGGGTGAGCACCTGCGTGTGTGTGCGTGAGAACGCGACGCGCCCCGACATCTCGAAGTTGAGGCGCATGAGCAGGTGCAGCAGCAGGCACGCCTGCGCCCAGCCCAGGCGCGACCCGCAGCAGCGCAGCGCCTCCAGGCACAGCGTGCCGCACAGCTCGCTGCGTCCTCGCAGGAATGCCACCTTGAACTTCGCACAGCACACAGCACGCACAGAACACAGTGCACACATAGCACACACACAGCACATAGCCCACACAGCACATAGCACACACAGCACACACACAGCACACACAGCACACACACAGCACACACACAGCACACAGCACACACAGCACATAGCACACACAGCACACACACAGCACACACAGCACACACACAGCACACACACAGCACACAGCACACACACAGCACACACAGCACACACACAGCACACACACAGCACACACAGCACACACAGCACACAGCACACACCACACACACAGCACACACAGCACACACACAGCACACACACAGCACACACACAGCACACACAGCACACACACATCACACACACAGCACACAGCACACACAGCACACACACAGCACACACAGCACACACACAGCACACACAGCACACACACAGCACACACACAGCACACACACAGCACACACACAGCACACAGCACACACAGCACACACACAGCACACACAGCACACACAACACACACACAGTACACACACAGCACACAGCACACACAGCACACACACAGCACACACACAGCACACACACAGCACACACACAGCACACACACAGCACACACACAGCACATAGCACACAGCACATAGCACACAGCACATATCACACAGCACATAGCACACAGCACACACACAGCACACACAGCACACACACACAGCACACACACAGCACACACACACACCACACACACAGAACACACAGTACACACAGCACACACACAGCACACAGCACACACAGAACATAGTGCACGCACAGCACACACAGCACACACACAGCACACACACACACCACACACAGAACACACAGTACACACAGCACACACACAGCACACAGCACACACAGAACATAGTGCACGCACAGCACACACAGCACACACACAGCACACACAGCACACACACAGCACACACACAGTACACACAGCACACACAGACACAGCACACACAGCACACACACAGCACACACAAAAGATAGCAAACAAACATAGCATACACAGCAGATAGCATACACGTAGCACACACACACATAGCGCACACACACAGCACACACAGCACATAGCACACACAGCAAACAGCCACGTACCTTGTTGAGGAAAGTGTGCAGGGAAGCGAAGACGTGTCCGAGAGCGACGGCCGACTGCCCAGTGCGCAGCGCCGTCACGTAGACCCCGAACGCGCGCTGCATCAGCACGCCGTCCCCACCACCCGCCAGCAGCCGCTCCTGCAGACGCACGCACAGACGCGCACACACACGCACAGGCACGCACACACACGCACAGGCACACACACACGCACACAGGCACGCACACACACGCACAGGCACACACACACAGACGCGCACACACACGCACAGGCACGCACACACACGCACACACACGCACAGGCACACACACACACACAGATGCGCACAGACGCGAACACACACACGCATAGACACACACAGAATCGCACAGACAAGCATATACACATAGACACGCACAGACACGCACAGACACGCACAGACACGCAGGAACGCACGCAGACACACAAACAGATGCGCACAGAAGCGCACAGAAGCACACAGACACGTGCAGACGCGCACAGACACACAGCCGCACACAAACACACACAGACACGCACAGACACACACAGACACGCACAGGTGTTCGCTAACAGCACGTGCCTCAACAGTGTGTGTAGGCTACAACCGTGGATCTGTGTGTGTGGCAATGTCTCGTAGGGGAGCGTGCTTGTTCTGGTTAGCGCGCTGCACTGCAAACCCAGCAAACTGAGTTCGATTCCCGCTCACGGCCACCAACACCAGTGACAATTATCTGCAACGGTCCCGGGCCCTTCGCTAGGTCGACTCAGCCTTAAACGAGTACGTGGTACAGTGTGTAAACATCACCACCGGGGAGACAAAGGCGGTCGGGGGAGTGTTGCTTGCCACCCACCCATCCGTGAGCCGTGCCGGCCTTCATAGGTGGCTGTTCGCTAACGGCACTTGCCCCAAGAATCTGATTGAGGCTATGCGGGGCGGCCATCTTTGTCCCCGCGTTGGCGACGCGCCGTACCTTGTAGTTGTGCGTGTAGAGCTCCATCGTGTCGAGCACGGTGAGGCAAACCTCCGTGGAGAGGTTCGCGGCCAGCAAGCACTGCTGCTGGGCCTCGACCTCCGAGCCTGCGAGAGGGACAGAAGGAGGAGTCACGGGGGGTCACGGAGGAGGAGGAGAGAGAGAGAGGGAGGGGTCACAGAGGGTCAGGGAGAGAGAGAGGGGTCACGGGGGGGGGTCACGGAGGGTCACGGAGGGGAGAGAGAGAGGGAGAGGTCACGGAGGGTCACGGAGAGAGAGAGGGAGGGGTCACGGAGGGTCACGGGGGTTACGGAGGGGAGAGAGGGAGGGGTCACGGGGGGGTCACGGAGGAAAGAGAGAGAGGGAGGGGTCACGGAGGGTCACGGAGGGGAGAGACAGAGGGAGGGGTCACGGAAGGTCACGGAGAGGAGAGAGATGCTCCACGTGAAGGGAAAAACGCATCCCAACAACAAACTCCTCACGTCCGCACATCGCATCCCTCATTCCCAGCCTCACTAGCTGCTCGCTAACAGCACTTGCCCCAACAGTCTGTTAAAGGCTATACGGAGGCATCTTTGTATTTAAATCTCGACTTAAAGCTTTCGTGACTGCAGGAATTCATATTCTTTGGGTCTTTCGGTAAAGTCACGTCGATATCTACGTAGATATCTAAGTGGCATTATATCTTTGTATTTATCTTTGTAAATGCATATGCACGAATATCTGTATGTGTGTGTGTGTATGTTTGGATGTGTGTCTGGCTTGCGGAGCCCCAGCGTGTTTTCTGACCGTGGCGGTGTGTGTATGTGTGTGTGTGAGTGTGGGGAGCGGTAGTGTAGCGGTTAGCGCGCTGCACTACGAACTTGGCGACCCGGGTTCGATTCCCGCTCACGGCCATCACCAGTGACGATTATCTGAACTGGTCCTGGGCCTCCCCTAGGTCGACTCAGCCTCAAATGAGTACCCGGAGCGATGTGTAAACATCGCCGCTAGGGAAACAAAGGCGGTCGGGCGTGGTGCTGGCCACCCACCCCCTCGTGTACCGTTGCGGCCTTCATAGGTGCTCGCTAACAGCACTTGCCCCTCCAGCCTGTTAAGGCTATATGGGGGATCTTTGTCTGTGTGTGTGTCTGAGCTGGCGAGCATTACCCATGCTGCTGCCCAGCAGCCCTCCGTGCTGTCTCAGCTGCAGCAGCGTGTGTGGGGGGCGACGCGCGGGCAGCGTCTGAGAGCGCTTCACCTGTGCCCCCGGAACAGGTGCACACACCGATGCCGGCGGGCCCTCCCCTGCACTGCACACGCACGCACACACGAAGACAAAGGCAAAGATCCCCCGTGTAGCCTTAACAGACTGTCGGGGCAAGTGCTGTAAGCGAAGCACCTGTTAAGGTTGGCACGGCACACGACGGGGTGGGTGGCCAGCGCCACGTCCCAGCCCGCCTTTGTCTCTCACGTGGTGATGTTTACACGCCGCGCCTGGTACTCATTTGAGGCTGAGTCGACCCGTTCGGATAACCGTCACTGGCGTTTGTGGCCATGAGCAGGAATCAAACTCGAGTCGCCAGGTCCGTAGTGCTGCGCGCACACCGCTACACTGCCGCTCCCCACACGGTTACACGCCACATGCACAAAGACACACACACACACACGGACTGCAGTGTAACTCCTGTGACTTTGAAGAATACTGTTACGGCACGCAGTGCATTCTGGGAGCCTGCACTCCAGATACATCACACTGTGCACGCTGTGACGCTGACTCGGTTGAATGACGTGAGTAACGCAGGGAGTCACCTGCTGGAGTAGTGGCGCTTGCCCAGGTATTTAAACTGGTGCAGACACAACCTGTAAGAGAGCACAGGGAGAGGCATCACACACACAGCACACAACACACACAGCACACAGCACACACACACACAGCACACACACATACACATATACACAGCACACACACATACACATATACACAGCACACACACATACACACACACAACACACACACAGCACACACACAGCACACACACAGCACACACAGCACACACACAGCACACACACAGCACACACACACAGCACACACACAGCATACACAGCACACACAGCACACACACAGCACACACACACACAGCACACACACAGCATACACAGCACACACACAGCACACACACAGCACACACACAGCACACACAGCGCACACACACAGCGCACACACACAGCGCACACACACAGCATACACAGCACACACAGCACACACACAGCACACACACAGCACACACACACAGCACACACAACACACACACACAGAACACACACAGCACACACACAGCACACACACAGAACACACACAGCACACACACAGCACACGCACAGCACACACACAACACTCACAATATACACAACACACACAGCACACACACAGCACACACACAGCACACACACAACACACACAGCACACACACAGCACACACACACACAGCACACACACAGCATACACACAGCACACACACAGCACACAGCACACACACAGCATACACACAGCACACACACACATCACACACACAGCACACACACAAACAGCACACACAGCATACGTATACAACACACACAGCACACACACAGCACACACAGCACACACACAGCACACACACACAGCACACACACAGCATACACACACAGCACACACACACACAGCACACACACACACAGCACACACAGCATACGTATACAACACACACAGCACACACACAGAGCACACACACAGCACACACACACAACACACACACAGCACACACACACAGCACACACACGCACACAAACAGTGCACACACAGCACACACAACACACGTACACAACACTCACAGCACACACACAGTTCACAAACAGCTCTCACATATAACACACGCACACATACACAGCACACACATGTACACAATACACACACATAGGACACATATGTACCTAAAAACATTTTTTTTACGAAACCTATTTTGTATTTACCAGGTAAGGCTCACTGAGCCATGTAGCTTTTTTCAGATGTGTCCTGGCCACAAATGAGAGCTCAGCGAAGTGGCTTATCATCACGTGGACATTTATAGCAGCCAAACAGTCTAAACGCGTGGTTCTAAATGCGGAGGGAAAAACAGGAGGACCCCCAAAAAAAATCCACGTGACCACGGGGAGAGAGAAACGCAAATTCCAAATATATAGCAGGCGTTAGGGTTGGGATCGAACCCACGACCTCCTGAGAACCATCTCACCACCGTCGCACCCTACACACAGCTCACACACAGCTCTCACATCACACACAGCACACAACTCGTGAAGGACACTACTGGACATTTGGAGGTAGTCGACCTCCAAGACCATCGGAGGGCGGAGGAACGATGGTCAGAACAACGAGCGGAGCGCCGGGCAGCTAAAATGCAGCAAGTTGGCACAGAAGCCATCGAAGGTGGTGCATCTGCCAGTGATCTCAGGAAATTAACCCAAAACACCTGGGTCTGTACCACGACCTCCTGCCACCAGCGTGTCTTCCACACTTCCCGTGGCCTCAACGTGCACCCAGCCTGGCACAAGTGCTGTGATGATGTCACCACCACTTAGTGGCGAATAGGGGCTGTTGTTATTGTTGTCCGTGTGGACACGTGTTTCTGCTCTGATTGTCACTCACTCTAGAATCCCGAAGAAGTCCAACATTTCATTGCTGGAGGTCTTCCTCCAATAGTTGAGCAGGGCATCTGTGGGACAAAGACAAAGATTCCCCATGTAGCATCTAACAGACTGTTGGGGCAAGTGTTGTTTGCGAGTAGCACCGATAAAGGACCGACACGGCACACAAGGGAGTAAAACTTGGTGGCCAGCACCACGCTCGACCGCCTCAGTATGTGTGTATGTTGTACTTCTTTCGCGCCGTGCGGAGCCAATCATGCTAATTGGAGAAGCGGAGGGGGGAAGGACAACAAACTAAACACTAAAAGCACTTCTAAAGAAATGGGTTTTCAACTCAGATTTCAAAGTGGCATAGCTCCTGTGGCTTTCTAATATCGGAAGGAAGAACGTTCCAGACGGCCGCAGAAGCGCATCTGAAAGCGCACCATGAAGGACCACTGCCCAAAACCTCGCCGATTACATATACAGTAAAACCTCGTTATTTCGGTATTTGAGCATTCGTAATCGGGGATAATTCGGCATGGCTGCGCTTTCGACATGTATAAAGTGTGTTAGCGATTCGCCACGAGCCGAATTTCATTAGCGAACGGTCCAATTTCGGCATGCACGTGGAGAGACGCAGCACGCCACGACCAAAACAACGACTCGATCTGGTGACGGCACGCGTGGCGAGCGTGGCGAGCGTGGCGAGCGTGGCGAGCGTGGTGAGTGTGGTGAGTGTGGTGAGCGTGGTGAGCGTGGTGAGCGTGGCGAGGTGGCGAGCGTGGTGAGCGTGGTGAGCGTGGCGAGGTGGCGAGCGTGGTGAGCGTGGCGAGGTGGCGAGCGTGGTTAACCGTTTTCAAAAGCTTGTCACGTGCCATTCGGGCAGTGGGTGGTGGTGGGGGAGGCTGGGTAGGGGGGTAGTGAGGGGAGGGGCTGGGTAGGGGGTGGTGAGGGGAGGGGCTGGGTAGGGGGGTCACCTGGGGGGGCGTGCTTGACCACGTGCAGGAAGCACAGCAGCAGCGTCTGCACGTCCACCACGTGCAGCACGTCCGGCCGCAGCACGAGCGTCGCCGCCTGTGGACGGTGACGCACACCACCACAAACACCACACGCACACACGATACACCACACGCACACCACACACACGACACACACACACACCACACGCACACCACACACACACGGCACACCACCACACACACGGCACACCACACACACACGCACGACACACACACACCACCACACACACCACACACATACAACACACATACAACGCACACCACCACACACACGATACACACACACGACACACACGGCACACAACACACCAAACCACACACATACGACACACACAATACACACGACACACACGCACGCCAGCCCACACGACACACACGGCACACACGACACATACGCCACACACACGCTCGATACACTCGCACAATACACACGCATGCCACACATGCCACACGCACGCCACACACATGCCATGAGAGTGATGAGTAGAGTGAGCGTTAGGGCAGGGCTGCCGCTGGAGGAGTCACCTGGTCCACGGTGTTGATGATGAGAGATGATCATGAGAGATGATGATGAGAGATGATGATGAGAGATGATCATGAGAGATGATGATGATGAGTTGTGAGTAGAGTGAGCGTTCGGGCAGGGCTGCAGCTGGAGGAGTCAACTGATCCACGGTGTTGATGATGAGAGATGATCATGATGATGAGAGATGATGATGAGAAATGATCATGAGAGATGATGATGAGAGATGATGATGAGAGATGATCATGAGAGATGATGATGAGAGATGATCATGAAAGATGATGATGAGTAGTGAGTAGAGTGAACGTTAGGGCTTGGCTGCAGCTGGAGGATTCACCTGGTCCATTGTGTTCCTGCGTTCGTGGAGGCTCGAGTTGGAGTCGGAGCTCGCGACCGAGAGGCGAGAATCTCCCCTCTTGGCTCCCACTGAAAGACAAAGATCCCCCGTGTAGCCTTAACAGACTGTCGTGGCAAGTGCTGTTAGCGAGCGCCTATGAAGGCCGGCACGGCACACGAGGGGGTGGGCGGCCAGCACCACGCCCGGCCGCCATTTATCTCCCAGGTGGGGGTGTATACACATGGCACCAGCCACTCATTTGAGGCTGAGTCGACCTGGGGGAGACCCAGGACCAGTTCAAGAAATCGTCACTGTGGTGCTCGCCGTGAGCGAGAATCAAAATCGGGTCGCCGGGTTCGGAGGTCAAATGAAGCAATATTAGAAAACGTTCCCAGTTTCACATACTTAGGCAGCCATCTCTCCAGCAATGTCTTGATTGTGAAATCCAACATCGGATTACCCCAGGAGGTTCTTTGAAGACCACGACATTACCACCACCAAGGCCAAAGTAGCTGTGAATAATGCTGTGATCATTCCAACCCTCTTACGTGGTGGTGCAGAAACCTGGACCGCCTATGGTAAACACGTCAAATCTCTCGAAATGTTTCATCAATGCTGTCTCAGGAAAATACTGAACGTCGCCTGGGAAGAAAGACGAACTAATATCGGTGTCCTGGATCGATCCAACTCGTCCAGCATAGAGGCCATCATCATGATCAAGCATCAACTCAGATGGGCAGGTCACCTTGCGAGGATGAATGGCTTCCTAAGCAAATCTTCTATTCCCAGCTCAGCGATGGATCACGTTGCCCCCGGAGGTCAAATGAAGCGTTTCCGTGACAACGTTAAAATGCACCTCATGCGAAGCCACACAGATTCAAACAACTGGGAAATCCATGCGCTTGATGGACCATCATGGATGGCCAAAATAAACAATGGAACTCAGCGTTTTGAGGCCGAGCGAAGAAAGTTGATAGCCAGGCAAAGAGCACGACTCAAAGCAACATACACCAGAGGCAGACAACAGCGAGTGTGAGCTCCAGGAGGGAACATCCTGGAGCTCACACTGTGCCAAGATCTGCAGGTCACGGAGTGGCCTGTTCAGCCATCTCCGGACCCATGGACAGCCAGGTCCACCTCACAACACCGACAAGTGGAGACACCTGCAGGGGCATCTTTACTCGACTACGAGGAATCCCAGAAGAATGTAAAGCACCACCACTCCCCCACACATTGATACAAGACAAAGACAAAGATCCCCCGTGTAGCCTTAACAGACTGTTGGGGCAAGTGCTGCTAGTGAGCACCTATGAAGGCCAGAACGGCACACGAGGGGTGGGGGCGGCCAGCACCACGCCCGACCGCCTTTGTCTCCCCAGTGGGGATGTTTACACCCCGCAGCAGGTACCAATTTGAGTCTGAGTCGATCTAGGGGATGCCCATGACCGGTTCAAGTAACCGTCACTGGTGTTGACCGTGAGCGGGAATCGAACTCGGGTCACCGGCTTCGTAGCACAGTGCGCTAACCGCTACGCCACCGCTCCCCAAACACAAACACACATGCACAGGGAGGTGCACTGCTCACTGAGCTCTGCTCACCGCTCAGTGTGGAGGGGAAGGTGAAGGCTGCCACCTCCAGGGTGTTGGAAGCGCTCTTGGGCAACGCGTGATTCAGAACGTCTTCCCTGGGGCTCTGCAATTGGCATCGGCATCACCGTAACGTCAACGTCACTGATGAATGGGTGAAGGCCTCACTGCTTTGTCAAGGCCCCTTGCACAGGAGGGCCCTGCAAGATCCGACGGTATCCGGCCGGTGCTCACCGAGCTGTACTGGATTTATTTTGATTGAAAGCTTTCGTGACTGCAGGGATTCATCTTCTTGCTTCTTTCGGTAAAGTCACGTAGAAGGGAAATAATAAAATAATAAAAATTAAACATAATAAAATAATTTCGATTTAAAGCTTTCGTGACTGCAGGGATTCATCTTCTTGGTTCTTTCGGTAAAGTCACGTAGAAGGGAAGTAATAAAATAATAAAAATAAAACATAATGAAATTTCGATTTAAAGCTTTCGTGACTGCAGGGATTCATCTTCTTGGTTCTTTCGGTAAAGTCACGTAGAAGGGAAATAATAAAATAATAAAATTAAACATAATAAAATAATTCTCACGACGTGTCGGCCACAACGTAAGCAGCCGTCCTCAGGTGAAGACCAGGTCTGTCGGGGAGACAGCGTCTGAATTCAGACGCTGTCTCCCCCGACAGACCTTGCGTTGTGGCTGAAACGTCGTGAGAATTATTTTATTATGTTTGATTTTTATTATTTTATTACTTCCCTTCTACGTGACTTTACCGAAAGAACCAAGAAGAAGCTGTACTGGCTTCCGCTTGCCGAACGAATACGTCATTAGGTGGCACTGATTACACACGAAGTGCTTGCCACAAATGAACCACAAAACCTCGCTGATCTCGTCAGGGAAACCAGCAGCGGCTTTTGGCCGGACATCGAACAAAGGCGGTGGTCACCGCATCGCGTGGCGCTTTCAGATGCGCTTCTGCGGCCGTCTGGAACGCTCTTCCTTCCCAAATTAGGAAGCCACCGGGGCTATGCCACTTTTAAATCATCTAGATTGAAAACTCATTTCTTTAGAACTGATTTTTATGTTTAGCTTGTTGTCCTTCCCCCGCACCTCCGATTAGCACGGTTGGCTACGTACGGCGCGAAAGGAGTTCAACACACATTAATAACGACAACAATAATAGTCATAGCCAATGACAATGGTTCATTAAGGCAAGCGTCACTGAATGGGGCTTTGTTGTTGAGGTCTTCCGTATGTTTGCCAATGTCTACCTCTGTCCCCTCTCATCTCACTCTCCTCCCCACCACGCACTCTCCTACCTCTCCCCTCTCATCTCACTCGGCTCCCCACCACGCACTCTCCTATCTCTCTTCTCTCATCTCACTCTACTCCCCTCCACGCACTCTCCTACCTCTCCCCTCTCATCTCATTCTACTCCCCACCACGCACTCTCCTACCTCTCCCCTCTCATCTCACTCTACTCCCCTCCACGCACTCTCCTACCTCTCCCCTCTCATCTCACTCGACTCCCCACCACGCACTCTCCTGCCTCTCCCCTCTCATCTCATTCTACTCCCCACCACGCACTCTCCTACCTCTCCCCTCTCATCTCACTCTACTCCCCTCCACACACTCTCCTACCTCTCCCCTCTCATCTCACTCTACTCCCCTCCACGCACTCTCCTACCTCTCCCCTCTCATCTCACTCTACTCCCCACCACGCACTCTCCTACCTCTCTCCTCTCATCTCACTCTACTCCCCTCCACACACTCTCCTACCTCTCCCCTCTCATCTCCCTCTACTCCCCTCCACGCACTCTCCTACCTCTCCCCTGTCATCTCACTCTACTCCCCTCCACGCACTCTCCTACCTCTCCCCTCTCATCTCATTCTACTCCCCTCCACACACTCTCCTACCTCTCCCCTCTCATCTTACTCCACTCCCCTCCACGCATGCTCCTACCTCTCCTCTCATCTCACTCTACTCTCCTCCACGCACTCTCCTACCTCTCCCCTCTCATCTCACTCCACTCCCCTCCACGCACTCTCCTGCCTCTCCCCTCTCATCTCACTCTACTCCCCTCCACGCACTCTCCTGCCTCTCCCCTCTCAACTCAATCTAGTCCCCTCCACACACTCTCCTACCTCTCCCCTCTCATCTCACTCTACTCCCCTCCACGCACTCTCCTACCTCTCCCCTCTCATCTCACTCCACTCCCCTCCACGCACTCTCCTGCCTCTCCCCTCTCATCTCACTCTACTCCCCTCTATGCACTCTCCTACCTCTCCCCTCTCATCTCACTCTACTCTCCTCCACGCACTCTCCTGCCTCTCCCCTTTCATCTCACTCTACTCCCCTCCACGCACTCTCCTACCTCTCCCCTCTCGTCTCACTCTACTCCCCTCCACGCACTCTCCTACCTCTCCCCTTTCATCTCACTCTACTCCCCTCCACGCACTCTCCTACCTCTCCCCTCTCATCTCACTCCACTCCCCTCCACGCACTCTCCTACCTCTCCCCTCTCATCTCACTCTACTCCCCTCCACGCACTCTCCTACCTCTCCCCTCTCATCTCACTCTACTCCCCTCCACGCACTCTCCTACCTCTCCCTCTCATCTCACTCTACTCCCCTCCACGCACTCTCCTACCTCTCCCCTCTCATCTCACTCTACTCCCCTCCACGTACTCTCCTGCCTCTCCCCTCTCATCTCACTCTACTCCCCTCCACGCACTCTCCTGCCTCTCCCCTCTCATCTCACTCTACTCCCCTCCACGCACTCTCCTGCCTCTCTCCTCTCATCTCACTCCACTCCCCTCCACGCACTCTCCTACCTCTCCCCTCTCATCTCACTCTACTCCCCTCCACGCACTCCCCTACCTCTCCCCTCTCATCTCACTCTACTCCCCTCCACGCACGCTCCTACCTCTCACCTCTCATCTCACTCGGCTCCCCTCCATGCACTCTCCTACCTCGCCCCTCTCATCTCCCTTGGCTCCCCTCCATGCACTCTCCTACCTCTCCCCTCTCATCTCACTCGGCTCCCCTCCACACACTCTCCTACCTCTCCCCTCTCAACTCACTCGGCTCCCCTCCACGCACTCTCCTACCTCTCCCCACTCATCTCACTCGGCTCCCCTCCACGCACTCTCCTCCCTCTCCCCTCTCATCTCACTCGGCTCCCCTCCACGCACTCTCCTACCTCTCCCCACTCATCTCACTCGGCTCCCCTCCACGCACTCTCCTACCTCTCCCCACTCATCTCACTCGGTTCCCCTCCACGCACACTCCTACCTCTCCCCTCTCATCTCACTCCACTCCCCTCCACGCACTCTCCTACCTCTCCCCTCTCATCTCACTCTACTCCCCTCTCATCTCACTTGGCTCCCCTCCACGTGCTCTCCTACCTCCCCCCTCTCAATGGCTAGCCAAAAGCTGCTGTGATTCCAATCTCTGAGGATCGTGGCGATGGGTTTGGAGGCTTCTCCACTGCACTGTGAAGCCTGGTGCTGCTGCTGCTGCTGGTACCGGCTGTGGGATGGGGTTGCTGTCGGAGGTGACCACCGCCTGGAAGCACATGCGGGTGTAGTTGTCGTGCAGGATGGAGAGGATCGGCAGGTACAGCATCGCCACACGGGATTGCTGGGCCTGCAAAAGACAAAGATCACCCGCGTAGCCTCAACGGACTGGTTGGTGCAAGTGCTGCTCAGTGCCTATGAAGGCCGGCACGGCACACCGGGGGGTGGGTGGCCAGCACCACGCCCGACCGCCTTTGATTTTACACACTGAACCAGCTACTATTTTAAGGCTAAGTCTACTTAGGGGAGGTCCAGGACAAGTTCAGATAGCGCAGCGCATTAACCGCTGCGCCACCGCTGAGTTTGCACACACACCCAACTATGTGATGGGAACGTCACCACAGTGCTTGCGCCAGGCTAGGTGCACTTTGAGGCCGTCACGTGACACATAAACATCTCTCGCTGCTGGCAGGAGGTCACGGACACAGACCCAGGTGTTATGGGTTGACCGATGTGCCAGCCTAAGTGCAGAACGTCACGACACAAACTCAGGTGTTATGGGTTGAACTGATGTGCCAGGCTGGGTGCAGGAGGTCACGGCACAGACCCAGGTGTTATGGGTTGACTCCTATGCCGTGCTGGGTGAGTGAGCGAGTGTGAGGGCGAGCGAGCGTGAGGGCGAGCGAGCGTGAGGGCGAGCGAGCGTGAGGGCGAGCGAGCGAGCGTGAGGGCGAGCGAGCGAGCGTGAGGGCGAGCGAGCGTGAGGGCAAGCGAGCGTGAGGGCGAGCGTGAGGGCGAGCGACCGGGGGAGGAGCCCTCGAGCCGGAGTGTGACACGCGGCCGCTCACGAGGCTCGCCGGAACAGCAGCGACCTCCCGGTGACCTTCAATGCGAGAGAAACAGAACCTCGCCGCGTGGGCCTGGGTGGTGGCGGGGGGTGAGGTGCCGGCATGAGGACGACTCACGGGCTGCGCATAGCGGTCGTCCAGCGAGTGCTTGGTGAGTAGCGAGCGCACCACCCCGAGCGCCGCTCGCCGTGACTCGCCCCCCAGCGTCTCCCCCGCCGCCACCGCCGCCTCGCGCAGCAGCATCCCGGCCAGCACGCGGCGGCGGCAGAAGTCGTCGCCCGCGCGGAACTCCCACGGAGCCGGCACTGGGGGGGGGAATGGGGGGTCGGCGGGGGAGGGGGGGGAATGGGGGGGCGGCGTGGGGGAGTATGGTTGAGATGGGGGGGATACAGGAGAGACGGAGATAATGATGATGGGTATCATCATTAAAACATTTCCCAAGCTCGGTGTTTTGCGGTTATTTTTCGACGCGGGACGTTACCCGTGATGCCGAGCGAGCCTAATGACGCCCCCCCCCTCGCCCGCCTGCCCCCCACGCCTGCCCCCCACCTTGTGGGCGCTGCGCTGGTCCGGGCTCCGCGTGCACGGGCAGGTTGAGCGGCACGTAGTGCTCGTAGTTGCACACGATCTGCAGGAACTCGATGCGGAAGTCGAACGTCCTCTGCGGTGACGACACGACAGGGACGGTGTCAGCTGGGGGGGGCGGGAGAGGGGGGGGCGGAGGAGGGGGGGGCGGGGGAGGGAGGTGGCGGCACGGGGGGGGAGTGGTGGAGCGACGGTCTCACCTTGGAGTCCATGATGGGGAAGCTCGTGATGTAGGAGTTGATGAGGCGGAAGACGAATCCGCGGTCCATGAGAGTGAAGCAGCGCTGTGGGGGGTACACGCGGTCTCGGATCGTCACCGCGGCACTGGAGTCACGGGGTTAAGGTGCAGCCCTGCAATTCCCTGCTCACGCCGCGTGCTCGGGGATGTGGCCTACATCAGATGGGGGCTCTAGAGAGCGCCCCTTTCGAGGGTATGGAGACGCAGTGAAGGTGATGTTGAAGGATAAACAGTGAAGATGATGAAGATGCAGTGACGATGATGAAGGATAAACAGTGAAGATGCAGTGAAGACACTGATCACCACGATGACGATAAGACACAGGGCGATGACGATGAAGATGCAGCGATTATCACAGCGACGCAGCGGCGGCGACGACAGGCACACAGGGAAGCGCCACTGACCATCAGGAAGGCGGCCAGGCTGACGTTGGCACTGCGAGCCTCCTCGCCCGTGTCCCGGTGAATCCTCGGCACGTGCTTGCTCAGCTGCGTCACCATCGAGTCGAGGTTGCGGTGGAACGATGCCGGGAAGCGCTCGCTCCGCTTCAGCTGCGACGCGCGCGCGGGCAAACACAAGTAGGGCGCAGCGGTTCGGTACCGAGATCGGCAGACAGGCCACCGCCTCCGGCGTTTCGGTGAAGCAGCCTCGCTCAGGATGACGGGGGGGGGATGACGGGGGGGGGATGACGGAGGGGGGCACACCGAGGTGGCCGGCTAACGGCTCGGAGAAGGCAAAATGCTGAGCCGCCGCTTCCGCCGGTTAAGGACCTCGAGGTTTCAAACATCCGCGAGTTTATCCAATCAGAACCGGAATATTTATTCGCAGGAGGAATCCGTTTAGCTGTGAAGGCGCTTTTCGCACAGATGTGCAGTAGGGGCACGGGGTCAGATCGTCACAGCGACAAACGATACGAAAACGCGAGAGGATCGCAGGGTAAAGTAAATCAAATCAGTAAACACATTTAACAACAAATATTTTAACCAGGTAAAGCCCAGCGATAGCTCAACGAAGTGGCTTACCAGGTGGACATGAATAGCAGCAGCCAAATGCTCTAAAGAATCTATGAACCTAAAGCAGAGATGAAGGGGGGTTGGGTGGGTGGGGGGGATCTCCATGTTCGTTCATGTCGACCAGCAGCCGTGGGTTTCACATCGGGGTGGCCGAGCCGGGCGATTGCGTGTGGAGTAGCTGAGTGAGGGGGGGGTGATGAGGAGTGGTGAGTGAGGGGGTTATGTGGGCCGAGGTGTGACCGCGAGACGCTCGTCAGCTGCTTACCGACAGCCGCTGGTTCTCTATGACGTGCTGAGCCATGGACTTGCTGATGATCCCGAAGAAAAACCACAGGTGCTGTTGGACACGGAGGAGAGAAGTCAAAATGAACACCGTAAGATACAGTGAGCGAGTGTGGGTGAGTGTGGGTGAGTGTGGGTGAGTGTGGGTGAGTGAGAGCGAGTGTGGGTGAGTGTGGGTGAGCGTTGGCCAGTGTGCGTGTGTGTGGGTAGAAGCGGTGGTGTAGTGGTTAGCGCTACGCTGCGCTACGAACTTGGCCACCCGGGTTCGATTCCCGCTCACGGCCAACACCAGTGACGATTATCTGAACCGGTCCTGGCCCTCCCCTAGGTCGACTCAGCCTCAAGTGAGTACGTGGTGTGATGTGCAAACATCGCCACTGGGGAGACAAAGGCGGCCGGGCGTGGTGCTGGCCACCCACCCCCTCGTGTGCCGTGCCGGCCTTCATAGGTGCTCGCTAGCAGCATTTGCCCCTACAGTCTGTGAAGGCTACACGGGGGATCTTTGTGTGGCTGGGCGAGCGTGCCTTCAGCAGCTTGCTGTTGAGCTGCTGGTCCACGGAGGAGCCGAGAAGCAGCTCCATGGTCCTCACGAGCTCCTCGTGCGTCGTGCGGCCGCTCTGCTCGTCCCACGGCTCCGCCTTGAACACGTACTGCGAGCACGAGGCCATCGGCACCGTCGTCACAGCCAATTATCACCGTCATCATCGTCATCACGACCGTCTCCATCGTCATCATCTCCATCGTCATCACCACCACTATCATGTTCATCATTGCCGTCATCACCACCATCATCATCACCAAACATCATCATTGTATCTTCTTGGTTCTTTCGGTAAAGTCACGTAGAATGGAGATAATAAAATAATAAAATAAAACATCATAAAATTATTCTCACGACGTTTCGGCCACAACGCAAGCAGCCGTCCAGGTCTGTCGGGGACACGCTGTCTCCCCGACAGACCTGTTCTCCACCTGAAGACGGCTGCTTGCGTTGTGGCCGAAACGTCGTGAGAATTGTATTTTATTATGTTTTATTTTTTTTATTTTATTATTTCCCTTCTACGTGACTTCACCGAAAGAACCAAGAAGATGAACCCCTGCAGTCACGAAAGCTTTAAATCGAAAAATCATCATTCTAATTTTTCTCCATAGTCATCGCCACTGCCATCATCATCATCACGACCATCGTGGCTTCTGTGCATGCGGTGAGTGGCAGGCGCATCCTCACCCGAGTGTACGAGTGCAGGTGGTGGTCCTGCTCCTCCTCGTGGCACCGGTCCACAAAGTGCACCAGGAAGCTGCGCAGCCACACACACGGCACACACACACATGGCACACACACACACGGCACACACACACGCGGCACACACACACAAGGCACGCACACACAGCACATCGATTACTGAGTGACCCATTACCGAGTGACCCTTTACCGAGTGACCCATTACTGAGTGACCCCTGACCCATTACTGAGTGATCCATTACTGAGTGGCCCCTGACCCATTAGCGAGTGACCCATTACTGAGTGGCCCATTATTGAGTGACCCCTGACCCATTACTGAGTGATCCATTACTGAGTGATCCATTACTGAGTGACCCCTGACCCATTACCGAGTGGCCCATTACTGAGTGATCCATTACTGAGTGGCCCATTACTGAGTGGCCCTGTGAAAATCAGTGGCCCACTGACGAGAGGCCCATTACCGAGTGCCCCAGTGGAGGTGAGTGGCCCATTGCCGAGTGACCCATTACTGAGTGTCCCAGTGGAGGTGAGTGGCCCATTGCCGAGTGTCCCAGTGGAGGTGAGTGGCCCATTACCGAGTGACCCATTACCAAGTGACCCAGTGGAGGTGAGTGGCCCATTACCGAGTGACCCATTACCAAGTGTCCCAGTGGAGGTGAGTGGCCCATTACCGAGTGACCCATTGCCGAGTGCCCCAGTGGAGGTGAGTGGCCCATTGCCGAGTGACCCATTACCGAGTGTCCCAGTGGAGGTGAGTGGCCCATTACCGAGTGGCCCATTACCGAGTGACCCATTACCGAGTGACCCATTACCGAGTGACCCATTACCGAGTGGCCCATTACCGAGTGACCCATTACCGAGTGGCCCATTACCGAGTGACCCATTACCGAGTGACCCATTACCGAGTGACCCATTACCGAGTGACCCATTACCGAGTGACCCATTCGAGGCCATTACCGAGTGACCCTTACCGAGTGACCCATTACCGAGTGGCCCATTACCGAGTGACCCATTGCCGAGTGTCCCAGTGGAGGTGAGTGGTCCATTACCGAGTGACCCATTACCGAGTGACCCATTACCGAGTGACCCATTACCGAGTGACCCATTACCGAGTGACCCATTACCGAGTGGCCCATTACCGAGTGACCCATTACCGAGTGACCCATTACCGAGTGACCCATTGCCGAGTGTCCCAGTGGAGGTGAGTGGCCCATTACCGAGTGACCCATTACCGAGTGACCCATTACCGAGTGACCCATTACCGAGTGACCCATTACCGAGTGGCCCATTACCGAGTGACCCATTACCGAGTGGCCCATTACCGAGTGACCCATTACCGAGTGACCCATTACCGAGTGACCCATTACCGAGTGGCCCATTACCGAGTGACCCATTACCGAGTGACCCATTACCGAGTGGCCCATTACCGAGTGACCCATTACCGAGTGACCCATTACCGAGTGACCCATTACCGAGTGGCCCATTACCGAGTGACCCATTACCGAGTGACCCATTACCGAGTGACCCATTACCGAGTGACCCATTACCGAGTGGCCCATTACCGAGTGACCCATTACCGAGTGACCCATTACCGAGTGACCCATTACCGAGTGACCCATTACCGAGTGGCCCATTACCGAGTGACCCATTACCGAGTGACCCATTACCGAGTGACCCATTACCGAGTGGCCCATTACCGAGTGACCCATTACCGAGTGGCCCATTACCGAGTGACCCATTACCGAGTGACCCATTACCGAGTGACCCATTACCGAGTGACCCATTACCGAGTGACCCATTACCGAGTGGCCCATTACCGAGTGGCCCATTACCGAGTGACCCATTACCGAGTGGCCCATTACCGAGTGACCCATTACCGAGTGACCCATTACCGAGTGACCCATTACCGAGTGACCCATTACCGAGTGGCCCATTACCGAGTGACCCATTGCCGAGTGTCCCAGTGGAGGTGAGTGGCCCATTACCGAGTGACCCATTACCGAGTGACCCATTACCGAGTGACCCATTACCGAGTGACCCATTACCGAGTGACCCATTACCGAGTGACCCATTACCGAGTGACCCATTACCGAGTGACCCATTGCCGAGTGACCCATTGCCGAGTGACCCATTGCCGAGTGACCCATTACCGAGTGACCCATTACCGAGTGACCCATTACCGAGTGACCCATTACCGAGTGACCCATTACCGAGTGACCCATTACCGAGTGACCCATTACCGAGTGACCCATTGCCGAGTGACCCATTACCGAGTGACCCATTACCGAGTGACCCATTACCGAGTGACCCATTACCGAGTGACCCATTACCGAGTGACCCATTACCGAGTGACCCATTACCGAGTGACCCATTACCGAGTGACCCATTACCGAGTGACCCATTACCGAGTGACCCATTGCCGAGTGACCCAGCGTAGGCGAGTGGCCCATTGCGGAGGAACCTGGTGGTTGTGAGCAGAATCTCCTCCTGGGCGGTGAGCGTGAGCAAGTGGAAGAGCTGCGTGAGCAACGTGGACACGAAGCTGATCATGGCGTGGCCTTCGATGGCGTTGAGGCTCTGAGAAGGGTAAGCGAGGTGAGGGCAGAGCAGTGGGGAGCTGAGGGGAGAGATCCCAACATCACCGTAACATCCGACATCTCCAACATCTCCACAAATTACCACCAGCCACGCTGCGAACTCGGGCCAAACGAGTTCCATCCCTGGCCGCGGCCAACATCAAGTTCAAGTTCATTTATTAGGTGTAGCCCTGTGAGCCATTCGGCTCTTGGATCGGGTGCAACCGCAACAAACAAAAAACAAAAACATGAACAAAAAACATCTTAAAGTGAATATGTGACTAAGTGCAAACAGAAAATCCAAGAAAAGACAGCAAAATATTGCAGAAAAAAACACCGTACACCAACGCTGTGTGCAAAAATCCCAGTGGGATGCAAGTCAAACAACAACCACAAGACAACTTAGATTAAGGCCATCAGTCTAACATCAGTGGCAGGTGAATGATATCTCAACCGGCCTTTGGACCCCCTGCTCCGTCAACTGGGCCTTCAATGGGGACCCGGCGTGAATTTAAATAATCGGCACCGTGGGAGAGGACGATGAGCGGGTGCGGTGCTGACTGCACCACGAAGGCCTCGATAGGCCCCCTAACTACACCCCGGTGTGCCCATGCAAGGCCTCAATAGTCTCTGGCCAGTAAGCCCTTCCCCTCGGCAGTATATAACGCTGCACGGGGGACGGGCGTGCGTGCGTGCGTCTGTGCGTGCGTAACGCGCACCTTTATGGAGTTGAGCAGGTCTCTGGGCGCGGTGAGCGTGCCGTACTTGGTGAACTCGCACTGCTGCATGAAGTTGTGAAGATATTGATCCTGTGCACGCAGACACCATGGCCGGTTATCGTATGTGCACAACGTGTGTGTGTGCATGTGCGCTACGAACACGGCGACCCGAATTCGATTCCCACTCACAGCCAACACCAGTGACGATCATCTGAATTGGTTCTGCAGGGGAAAGACAACAAACTAAGCAGACACATTCTACTTTAATGAGTTTTCAATCTAGATTTAAAAGTGCATAGCTCCAGTTGCTTCCTAATATCGGAAGGAAGGGCATTCCAGACGGCTGCAGAAGTGCATATGAAAGGTCGCGATACGGTTACCGTCTTTGTTGGATGCCTATGTACACATGTTGTATCTATGTCGAACTTCTTTCGCATTGTACATAGCCAACCGCACTCATCGGAGACGCCGGAGATTAAAAAAAGGGGCTCGGAAGGTGTTTACTGTAACTTAAACAGTGCTAAGGCGTTCGCGAGGCCGCCTATACGGCCGAATGAAAGTGTGGACTGCCGCGTGCATGGCAGAGAAGTGTGTGAGCCCCGAGCGTGGCCACACCTTGGTGTAGATGCTGGAGACGAGGTGCGTGCTCACAGTGAGGAGCCTCTTCCCTCCCTCCACCCACTTCACCTCCGGGCCCACAAACTGCACAGAGACGGCGACACAAAGACAACAACAACAACCGTCACCACAACGCTCGTGCCAGGCCGGGTGCGCCCACGGGAAGTGTGGAACAGCTCTCTGCTGGCAGGAGGTCACGGGCCAGAACCGGGTGCCATAAGTTGACTGACTGAGATGACCGGCAGATGCACTGCCTGCGCTCCCCAATGTGCCAACTCTCTGCGTATTATCCGCCTGGCGCTCCGCTCATGTTGAGCTCATCGTTACGTGTGCTTGTTGCTTTGGATATGATGCCTGGCATTGTGGTGCATAGGTCATCTCTCCAGCTGTCTGGTTATGGCAGGCAAGAATTTAATATCCAACACATACAATAAATATATCCCTCCTTGCACCCCTCCACTGGAATCAACTTCCCCTGCACATTGAGCAGCACTGCCCATAGACTCACCACTGCCCATAGACTCAGCACTGCCCATAGACTCAACACTGCCCATAGACTCAGCACTGCCCATAGACTCAGCACTGCCCATAGACTCAACACTGCCCATAGACTCAACACTGCACCATAGACTCAGCACTGCCCATAGACTCAACACTGCCCATAGACTCACCACTGCCCATAGACTCAGCACTGCCTATAGACTCAGCACTGCACCATAGACTCAACACTGCCCATAGACTCAACACTGCCCATAGACTCAACACTGCCCATAGACTCAGCACTGCCCATAGACTCACCACTGCCCATAGACTCAACACTGCCTATAGACTCAGCACTGCACCATAGACTCAACACTGCCCATAGACTCAACACTGCCCATAGACTCAGCACTGCCCATAGACTCACCACTGCCCATAGACTCAACACTGCCTATAGACTCAGCACTGCACCATAGACTCAACACTGCCCATAGACTCAACACTGCCCATAGACTCAGCACTGCCCATAGACTCAACAACGCACCACAGACTCAACACTGTACATAAACTCAACACTGCCCATAGACTCAGCACTACCCATAGACTCAACACTACCCATAGACTCAACACTTCCCATAGACTCAACACTACCCATAGACTCAACACTGCCCATAGACTCAACACTGCCCATAGACTCAGCACTGCCCATAGACTCAACACTGCCCATAGACTCAACAATGCACCACAGACTCAACACTGCTCATAGACTCAACACTGCCCATAGACTCAACACTGCCCATAGACTCAACACTGCCCATAGACTCAACACTGCCCATAGACTCAACAATGCACCACAGCCTTAACACTACCCATAAACTCAACACTACCCATAAACTCAACACTACCCATAAACTCAATACTGCCCAAAGACTCAACACTATCCATAAACTCACTTCCCAAAGACTCAACACTGCACCATAGCATCAGCACTGCCCATAGACTCAGCACTGCACCATAGACTCAGCACTGCCCATAGACTCAGCACTGCCCACAGCTGTTGGAGGAGTGCGGAGGGAGGGGAGGGTGAGAGGAGTGGGGTAATGTCGTGTGGGAAGCGCTACCTTGCCGAGGCCGATGTTCTGGCAGGAGAGGTACCCGGCAGGCAGCGTGACGCTCACGGCGAGCTGGGAGACGCCGGTCCGCACGCGGCCCTCACGCAGCAACGGCAGCCACGCATAGCCCACTGTGCACAGCACACGGTGGGGGGGGGGGGGCGCACATGATGCTTAGAGCACACAGCACTGACACACGGCATGCTAACGCACAGCACTGATACACGACGTGCTAACACACAGCACTGACACACGGCGTGCTAACGCACAGCACTGATACACGGCGTGCTAACACACAGCACTGACACACGGCGTGCTAACACACAGCACTGGCACACGGCATGCTAACACACAGCACTGGCACACGGCATGCTAACACACAGCACTGACACACGGCATGCTAACACACAGCACTGACACACGGCGTGCTAACACACAGCACTGACACACGGCATGCTAACGCACAGCACTGACACACGGCATGCTAACACACAGCACTGACACACGGCATGCTAACACAGCACTGACACACGGCATGCTAACACACAGCACTGGAGGAGGAGGAGGGGGCGAGCGTTCTCACCCTCCGCCTCGGCCGTGTCCCTGCGCTTGCCCAGGTCGCAGCTGATGTGCGAGAAGGTGAACAGCAGGTGATGCTTGCCGTGCAGGTGAACCGGCAGCTCCAGCTTCACCTGGGCACAGGGAGACGACGCCCGGCGCACCGCGGGTGAAGTTAGCGAGCGACTATTTTACGTCAGGACGCATCGTGAGAGCAGCTGACAGAGGAGATATTGAGCAGCATAGTGGAGGTCGAAAGAAGGCAAAATAGGCAGCCCCCCCCCGCCACCCCCCCCCCGCCACCCTCCTCCCGCCACCCCCCCCCCGCACCCCCCCCGCCACCCCCCCCGCTCCCCCCCCCCGCCACCCTCCCCCCGCCACCCGCCCCCCCGCCACCCCCCCCTGGCCGACGGCTGTGTAACAAGCGTGACGGCACTGACCTCGTCACAGAAGTCGGGGCACTGCTGGTGGTGCAGGACGGCCGTGTTGGCGCTGCTGATGAACGCCGGCTGCCCTGCCTTGCCGTAGATGCACTGCGCCGCAAACACAGACGCCACGGTGGCCAGGAGATGTTAACTCCCTCGCCTGGTACGCAGGAGGTCGTGGGTTCGATCCCGACCCTGACGCCTGCTGCTGTATATTTGAAGTTTGCGGTGTCTCTCTCTCTCCCCGCGGTCGCGTGGATTTATCTCCGGGTCCCTCCGGTTTTTCTCTCCACATTTAGAATCAACACCACTCGTTTAAGAGTGTTTTGCTGCTGTTCTCTCGGGTTTGGGGTTGCGTCGCGCTGCCCGCGGTCACCACCGCTGTGCGTGAATGCGGTGACGCCACCCGGGTCGCGAGTGATGGGGGTGGGCGGTGGGAGGGTGTGGGGGGGACGATCGCACCTTGAGCGGCAGTGTCCCTTCTTCGTCCGAGTCCCGGAACTCCACGTGAATGGCGATGTTCCTCGCCTGCACGTCGCACCGTCACGGGGTTAGACAGCGGCAGAGCGACAATCCCGCGAGCACCAGAAGTCGCAATCGGGTACCCGATACCCGTACCCTACCCGATACCCGGCTACCCGTACCCGGCCGGGTATCGAGTAGGGTACAGGTAACCCGTACGCGGCAGGGTACGGGTACGGGTACCCGTTTGCGACCCTGGTGCGGCCGGGTACGGGTACGGGTAAGGAATCAAAACCCGTTTGCGACCTCTGGCAAGCACCCCTCCTTCCCCCATCCCATGAGCCCCCCCCCCTGGCTTCCCGTGAGCCTGCCCCCTCCCATCCCGTGAGCGCCATCAAGAGGGGCGAGGTAGGAGAGTGTGTGCAGTGGAGTTAGAGCGAGATGAGAGAGGAGGGGAGAGGTAGCAGAGTGGAGCTCGTGGATGATCTTGAAAGAGGGCGAGCGAGATCTTGACATTGCAGGCGGCGCGGGCTGCCTAACGCGCGGAGGAGGAGGTGCCTGGGGTTCCGTGCGGCGACGCAGCCTCCGCAGGCCCGCTCCGGACGAGTCGGCGGGGACTCACCTTGGGAAAGATCTTCTGCGCGTCGTACTTGAGTCGCTGCGGGTACACGTAGAGACGGTTGGCGTACTCCGAGTAGGGGTGAGCGTGCCGCGCTGTCTCCGCCGGGAAGTCGTCCACCTCCCGCACGCACGGCCGCTTCCCGATGCCGCCGTTGCTGCCGCTGTTGTTGCCGGTCTCCGGGAGACGCCACCCGGCCATGACGGGCGACAACCCTGGTGTCAGCATGTCTGAGGAACCAGACATCGGGCCGTGGCATCGTTGTTGTTGTTGTCGTCGTCATCTACATCATCGTGATCTAAACTAAAACTCAACTGTTTTATTTTACTAACTAAGGCCCACTGAGCTCTTTTTCAAAAGCGACCTGACCACAAATTATAGCTCAATGAAGTGGCTTATCGCGTGGACATTTACAGCAGACAAATACTCTGAATGCACATTGATTCTAAATGTGGAGGGTAAAAACCGGAGGACCCAGAGAAAACCCCTCGCGGCCACGGGGACAGAAACGCAAACTCCAAATATACAGCAGCAGGCGTTTGGGTCGAGATCGAACCCACGACCTCCTGCACACCAGGCGAGAGAGTTAACATCTCTCAGCCACCGTAATGATGATAAGAGAGAGAGACACACAAACTCCAAATATACAGCAGCAGGCGTTTGGGTCGAGATCGAACCCACGACCTCCTGTACACCAGGCGACAGCGTTAACATCTTGCCACCGACTATCCGTACAAACTCGGCATCTGCGGCTGGTGGTGTATATTCGGATTGTCCACGTTGCTGCTGCTCCACGTTTCTGGAACACCGTCACCCGCTCACCTCCACTCACCCTCTTCATTATCACTTTATCCAAAACACAGCGCCTACTTGCACCTGTACCTAAACGTCTTCCAGCGCCCCTTGCTCCCAGATGTCTGCGCTGTCTTTCACTGTTAGACTAGGGGGGGTGTGGGGGAGCGGTAGTGCAGTAGCGGTTAGCGTGCCGCTGCGCTACGAACCCGGCCATCCGCGTTCGATTCCCGCCCACGACCAACATTGGTGACAAATATCTGAACCGGTTCTGGGCCTCCCCGAGGTCGACTCAGCCTCAAATAAGTACGTGGTGCGGTGTGTATACATCGCCACTAGGGAGATGTACGGTGCGAAATAATTCAACATGCATAGCATGGTTGACTACGTACGGTGCGAAAGAAGTTCAACATAGCACGGGTGGCTATGTACGATGTGAAAGAAATTCAACACACATAGTACGGTTGGCTACGTACGGTGCGAAAGGGGTTCAACATAAATTTTGATTTAAAGATTTCGTGACTGCAGGGATTCATCTTCTTGGTTCTTTCGGTAAAGTCACGTAGAAGGGAAATAATAGACGTTTCGGCCACAACGCAAGCAGCCGTCCTCAGGTGAAGAACAGGTCTGTCGGAAACGTCTATTATTTCCCTTCTACGTGACTTTACCGAAATAACCAAGAAGAGGTTCAACATACGTACGTACGTCTCCCGTTTAAAAATATCCGGGAAACTGGCAAATCGGGACCCTCCGTGTAACGAAACCAAATAAAACTTAAACAAGTGTGATATGAATGCATTTGAACGCAGGTCTTACTGGGCTGTTCTGCCGGCAGAGTCTCCACAGTAATTTTGATGCTGCCTGGAATCGTTTGAAGTTTCGACATTTTTTCTGACCTGCAGACAACACACGCAGAGCAAAGACAAAGATCCCCCGTATAGCTTTAACAGACTGTTGGGGCAAGTGCTGTTAGCGAGTACCGATGAAGGCCGGCACGACACACGAGGGGGGTGGATGGCCAGCACCACGCCCGGCCGCCTTTGTCTCCCTAGTGCCGATGTTTACACATCGCACCAAGTACTCATTTGAGGCTGAGTCGACCTAGGCGAGGCCCAGGACCGGTTCAGATAATCGTCACTGGTGTTGGCAGTGAGCGGGAATCGAACTCGGGTCGCCGGGTTCGTAGCGCAGCGCGCTAACTCTCTCGGCAAATTCACGTGTGCGCACATACGTACTTAGACGCAACACCGATATGCAATCACATCACAAACATGACATAAGCCGAGGACGCTAAAGTGTGCACAACAACACAAACAGTCGCCCCTCACCCCCTACATCACAGCAGCACCTGTGCCAGGCTAGGTGCACTTCGAGGCCACGTGGAGTGTCAAAAGCTCGCTGCTGGTAGGAGGGGGTCCTGGGACAAGCCCTGGTGCCATGATGTAGACTGACTAAGATGACGGGCGGATGCACTACCCGTGCTGCCCACTGTGCCACCCCGCCGCATGTATTCATCATCCACCCACGCTCCGCTCTTTATTGCGAGCGTCGCTCCTTCACCCGTTTGTGAGAGACGGGCGGAGCCAAGGCATCGGCGCTTTTCACCTTCGTTGGAAAACAACAGGGAATTCCCTTTTCGCGATTTTGGGGGGAAACATTCTATACCTATTTTTTTTACTAAACTGTTTTTTTTATTTTACCAGGTACGGCCCCACTGAGCTATGCAGCTCTTTTTTAAATCCTTTATATTAAGTTAACTTGCTTGCTTGCTTGCGCGCTTACGACTGTGCAAATCTTTCGGTCGTTTTTTAACCCACTTCCCGTGATCCAATCGAGCTGACATTTTGCACACAGACTCGTTGTGCGTGACAATTTATTTTCTTGAAAAAAAAATTCAAAAATTTTACACTTTTTAGGAATTTTTTTTTATATTTAATTACCATTTGCTTAATGGTGGCAGGCAATTATCTGACCCATAGGTGGCAGCCATCTCAAGCCAGAGGACGAGAGGACTCTAGCCGCCACGCATATAAAGGATTTATAGTGAAAAACTTTGTTTTTACGGGTTAATTTTTAGAAGTGACATGGCCACAAATTATAGCCCAACGAAGTTGCTTGTGATGGGGACATTTATAGCAGCCAAATACTCTGAACGCATGTAGGAAAAATTGTAGGGACCCAGAGAAAAATCCACAGGACCATGGCGAAAGAGACACGCAAACTCCAAATATCCAACAGGCATCAGGGTCGGGATCGAACCCACGTGGAGACTCAGACTCACGTGGAGACTCATAGACTCACGTGGAGACTCATAGACTCACGTGGAGACTCATAGACTCACGTGGAGACTGGTAGACTCACATAGAGACTCATAGACTCACGTAGAGACTCAGAGACTCACGTGGAGACTCATAGACTCACGTGGAGACCCATAGACTCACGTGGAGACTCATAGACTCACGTAGAGACTCATAGACTCACGTGGAGACTCAAAGACTCACGCGAAGACTCGTAGACTCACGTGGAGACTCATAGACTCACGTGGAGACTCATAGACTCACGTGGAGACTGGTAGACTCACATAGAGACTCATAGACTCACGTGGAGACTCATAGACTAGCGTAGAGACCCATAGACTCGCACAAATACCCAACGGTCAACTAAGCAGTCGGCAGCTCTGTGCCGGTGAGCGTCGCCCCGCCGCGCGCCCCTCCGCGGCGCGTACTTGTGCACGTCGACGAGCGCACGGAGCCAGTCGTCGCTCGACGTCCTGCCTGCGTCCTGGCGGAAGAGCGGGGAGAAGGAGGCGCCCTTGTCCAGCGCCCCGTTGACGTCGCGGAAGAGAGGCCTGCGGCGCGCGCGGGGAGGGTGGCAGGAGAGGGGGGACGAGGAGGGGGAGACGGAGGGGGTGGGTGGGTGCAGGAGCGCACGCGAGCGGTGCCCGGCACAGTGACGCGAGGGTGCGACGACGACGGTGATGTGTGCGTGTCGAACTTTTTTCGCGCCGTGCGTAGCCAAGCGTGCTAGTCGGAGGTGCGGAAGAAGGACAACAAACGATAATTAAAAAAACGCTCTAAAGAAATTAGTTTTCAATACAGATAATTTAAACGTGCATAGCTCCCAATGGTTTCCTAATATCAGGGGGAAGAGCATTCCAGACGGCCGCAGAAGCGCACCTGAAAGCGTGCAATGCGGTGACCGTCTTGATGATGACAATTATGACGATAATTGTTTTTTTTACCCTTCTATCTGGCAACAAACCTGACACCTTTTTTACGAGGAGTCATGTTTGCATAGACCACAATACCTGCAGTCATAATGCAAACAAAAAACATAACTCTGATAATGATATGCACTGTCCTTGAAGTTGATTGGTCCACACCCGAGACAGCTTTCCTTAGAGCCTAGTCTCCCATTCCTTAGAGCCTAGGCCAGGGGTCGGCAACCTACGGCTCCGGAGCCGCATGCGGCTCTTTACGGGCTGCTTCTTGACGATATGTACGTATGTACAGTATGTACTCAGATGCATTGCGGCTCTTGAAATACTGAATTTTGTACCGAATTGGAAAGAAATGGCTCTTCTTGTTATTTTGGTTGCCGACCCCTGGCCTAGTCTCACAATTATGACGACGATGATGACGATGGCGGTTATGACGATGGTACGAGTGCGTGTGCGTGTGAGCGCACCTGAAAGCGTGTGATGCGGTGACCGTCTTGATGATGACAATTATGACGATGATGATGACGATGGCGGTTATGACGATGGTACGAGTGCGTGTGCGTGTGAGCGCACCTGAAAGCGTGTGATGCGGTGACCGTCTTGATGATGACAATTATGACGATGATGATGACGATGGCGGTTATGACGATGGTACGAGTGCGTGTGCTCGTGAGCGCACCTGAAAGCGTGTGATGCGGTGACCGTCTTGATGATGACAATTATGACGACGATGATGACGATGGCGGTTATGACGATGGTACGAGTGCGTGTGCTCGTGAGCGCACCTGAAAGCGTGTGATGCGGTGACCGTCTTGATGATGACAATTATGACGATGATGACGATGGCGGTTATGAGGATGGTACGAGTGCGTGTGCGTGTGAGCGCACCTGAACGCCCAGCTGAACGGCATGTGATACTGGCCCATACGGCCACAGTACTGCCGCATTTGCTTCACCAACTTCTGGGCAACCTGGACGGGCAGGGAGTGGGGGTGAGAGGGAGAGGATGGTGCAACGATTGTTTATGTTACCAGCTGAGGCCCCGCTGAGCCATGTAGCTCTTTTCAGAAGTAACCTGGCCCCATATAGCAAACACACACACAGCACACACACAGCACACACACAGCACACACAGCACACACAGCACACACACAGCACACACAGCACACACACAGCTCACACACAGCACACACACAGCACACACAGCTCACACACACAGCACACACAGCACACACACAGTTGACACACAGCACACACACACAGCTCACACACAGCTCACACACACACACAGCTCACACACAGCACACACAGCTCACACACACACAGCTCACACACACAGCACACACACAGCTCACACAGCATACACACAGCACACACAGCTCACACACACACACACACAGCTCACACACAGCACACACAGCTCACGCACACACAGCTCACACACAGCACACACAGCTCACACACACACAGCTCACACACACAGCTCACACACAGCACACACAGCTCACACACAGCACACACAGTACACACACAGTTGACACACAGCACACACACACAGCTCACACACAGCACACACAAAACACAGCACACAGCACACACACAGCTCACACACAGCACACACAGCACACACAGTACACACACAGCTCACACACAGCACACACAGCATACACACACAGTTGACACACAGCACACACACACAGCTCATACACAGCACACACAAAACACAGCACACAGCACACACACAGCTCACACACAGCACACACAAAACACAGCACACCAGTTTGGTTTGACCTCCCGGCGCAGTGCGAGCGAACCGCGTGCGGTTGTCCGACGACGACCCGCCAGTATCGGTCGACGGCAAAATAAAAAAGGTGTTTGAGAGATGGCGCAGCGTGCCCGGCGGGGTCGGGGTGGGGAGCGGTGGGGGGGGAGTCACCACCTTGCCCGTGTCGTCGGCACGGAGGTACGGCTCGGTGCACTGCGCCACGCTGCCCTGCAGCACCTTCTCCACGCGCACGAGCAGCAGCACGTCCGGGTGTGGGTCGCACACCGTGAACACGGCCTGCAGCGCACGCACACACACGCGCGCGTTACACACACACACGTTACACACACGTTACACACACAGACGTTACACACACGCGCGCGTTACACACACACTACACATACACACGTTACACACGCGCACATTACACACACACGTTACACACATATTACACATACACACGTTACACACACGTTACACACACGTTACACACACGTTACACACAAACACGTTACACACATATTACACATACACACGTTACAGACATATTACACACACACACACGTTACACACACACATTGCACACACGTGTGCATTACACATAGACGTTACACACACACGTTACACACACACATTACACACACACATATTACACACACAGACATATACAAAGACAAATATCCCCCGTATAGTCTTAGCAGACCGTTGGGGCAAGTATTGTTCGTGAGAACCTATGAAGGCTTTGCACGGGACACGAAGGGGTGGCCAGCACCACGCCCAAACCGCCTTTGTCTCCCCAGTGGCGATGGCCATACCCAACAGAGCTCAAGAGTGAACTGGTCAGGGTCGGTCACGATCCAGCCCTCACCGATTCACTCCAGTGGCTCGCTGGGTTAGTCTCCACCTATCGATAACGTGTTTACACACCGCACCAGGTACTCATTTGAGGCCGAGTCTTCGTATCGGAGGCCCAAGAGCTTTTCAGATAATCGTCACCGATGTTGGCCGTGAGCGGGAATTGAACACGGGTTGCCGGGTTCGTAGCGCAGCGTGCTAGCCACTACACTACCGCTCCCCACAACAATGATCCCCCATATAGCCTGAACAGACTGTAGGGGCAAGTGCTGTTAGCGAGCACCTATGAAGGCCGCAACGTTACATGAGGGGGTGGGTGGCCAGCACCACGCCCGACCGCCTTTGTCTCCCTAGTGGCGATGTTTACACACCGCACCAGGTACTCATTTGAGGCTGAGTCGACCTAGGGGAGGCCCAGGACCGGTTCAGATAATCGTCACTGGTGTTGGCCGTGAGCGGGAATCGAACCCAGGTCGCCGGGTTCATAGCGTAGCACAGCGCGCTAACCGCTACACTACCGCTCCCCACAACAGACACACACACTCACTCATAGACAAAAACACGTTACACACACACACACATTACACATATCACCGGCGCTCCCCCCGCGAGCCCACACTCGCCTGAGTGGGGTACAGCAGCGCCTCGGTGGGCAGGCTAGGCGGGGCAGGCTCCCCGGGCCGCCGGGCTTGGCCGCCGGCGGCCGTCGCCACGTCGCCGTTGGCCTGCACCGCGGGCGACGCGCAGCCGCCCAGCAGCTCACGCACGGCCGGGGGGTTGAGGTCGGCGTGGAAGTCGGCCGAGATCTTCCTCGCCGTGCGAAGGTCGTACAGGGCCAGCGTGATGAAGAACGGCTCCACCTGAGGGGTGGAAGCGAGATGTTAACTACCTCGCTCCGTACGCAGGAGGGCGTGGGTTCGATCGCGACCCTGACGCCTGCTGTATGTTTGGAGATGGGGTGTTTTCTTTCTCTATCTCTGCCCGTGGGCGTGCGGATTTTTCTCCGGATCCTCCGGTTTTGCCCTCCACGTTTAGAATCGACGTGCATTTAGTGTATTTGGCTGCTATAAATGTCCACGTGCTAAGCCACTTCGTTGAGCTATCATTTGTGGCCAAGTCGCTTCTGAAAAAGAGCTAAATAGCTCAGTGGGCCTTACCTGGTAAAATAAAAGAAATATATATTCGTTTTAGTTTTATTTCATCCTGTACTCAACTAGCTAATGAGTGACCAACGAAGAAGTTAGAAAAAGTTTTGACTTAAAACGTTCGTGACTGCAGGAATTCATATTCTTTGGTTCTTCCGGTAAAGTCACGTAGTATAAAAATATTACAATAAAATTAAAATAACCATGACGTTTCGATCGCACATAGAAGAAGACAACCTGAAGATGCAGGCGGTGATGAGAAGGAAACTGGCACTATTTGTAGGGTGGACAACAACAGAAAAAATAAAAGTGTGTTTGTTGTTGTTGTTGTTGTTGTTCGGACAAAATGTAAGGAACCGGAAAGAGAGGAAGACCTAACGGAGAATGGCTTGACGACGACATGACAGGTTGGTGCCAGAAAGATGTGGCCACTACTTCAGCCATATTGACGCAAAGGCCGAGGAAAGTGGAAGCAAATGACGAAATGCACAGTTCACACCTACGGGGGCATTATCTGCCCATGCATCATGAACGACAAGTCATAAACAGCGGTGGCCTGCAAGTGGACATAAGCCTGCCAGTAGACGGGTGGGGGGGGGGCAATGCTGTAATTTTTTGTCCTTCCCAAATACATAATTCAGGAGTTATATATTTTTTACTAAATTCGGCAAATGTTGACGATGATGCCGGCACACGCAGTCCCACTTCGTGAGCGTCCCGCTGTGCTGGTTATCGCGCTCCGCAGCGTGTAAAGCCGTGGGGGGGACGGGGGGACGGCGGTCTGCGGGGTTAGAACCGCAACTCTCCCCGTCGCTGGGTCCCTCTCACGGTGATCTTGCCAATGGTGCAAATTTTTTATTTTTCATTAAAAAAAATGACATATAGAACTTTTTTATTCTAGTTTTGAAGCTTTCGTGACTTGCAAGGATTCATATTCTTAGGTTTTTTCGGTAAAGTCACGTAGGTAAAACATTTTAATTAATAAAAGTAAAATAAAATAAAAATCACGACGTTTCGGAGGCAACACAAGCTTCCGTCTTCACCCGAAACGTCGTGATTTTTATTTTATTTTTATTAATTAAATTTTTTTACCTACGTGACTTTACCGAAAAAACCTAAGAAATAACTTTATTTTTGATGTGTTTTTTGTTGTTGCTGTTGTTTTTTGTTATGTGGGGTGATCCGTACGTTGCTCTTGATGCCTCCGCTGTCGGAGAAGCAGGCCTGCACGGCGAGGTTGAAGCCCAGGCAGGAGACGAGGAGCCGCGTCGCTCTCTTCTCCCGCGGCGGCCTCGCCTCCCGCTCCGCCTCGCCCACCATGGGGCTCATCCTCTGCGGGCAGGATGGAGGGGTGGGGGGGGGGTGGGGGGGGCGGGGGGGGGGCGGGGGGGGGCGGGGGGGGCGGGGGGGGGGCGGCGCCGGTGCAGCGAGGTCAGAGGGGAGGCACTAAAGAGCAGCGCAAGCCAACAAGCAATCCCGCTCGGCACAGAAGCTAAACGACTGAACCGTTAAATTTCGATTTAAAGCTTTCGTGACTGCAGGGATTCATCTTCTTGGTTCTTTCGGTAAAGTCACATAAAATGGAGATAATAAAAAAATAAAAAATAAAACATTATAAAATAAGTGGCTTATTTTATTATGTTTTATTTTTATTATTTTATTATTTCCATTCTACGTTACTTTATCGAAAGAACCAAGAAGACTGAACCATTTTTATTTTTTACCGGTAATGTTCAACGTGTTTCGCACCGGAGGTGGAGTGGAAAGGACAACAAACTGACACCCAAATAGCGGTTCTGAAGGAATTCGTTTTCAATTTAGATTATTTGAAAGTGCATAGCTCCAGTGGCTTCCTAATGTAGGGGTGTTAGAGAGAGAGCCGTTATGCATGGCAGCTTATGGGAAACAAACACAGTGGGCGGGGCTACATGAGTGCACGGGGGGGTGCTCTCAACGACGTCCGCACCGGGCAGCCCGGGGCCCCACCCCTCAGCGGGGGTTGAGTATAAAAGGGGATGTGTCAGAGGGCTCGGGGGAAAATGTTAAGCTAACGAGAAGACTGAAGACATCTTAGCTAGAGCCCTGGACTCCCCTAGTTCGACGTCCTTATCAGGGCCGAACAGGATCGAGCCAGCGGCGTGGTTCCGAGAGCCAGAGCCGGTGCTCTTGTCAGAGCAGGTCTGGGACTCCGGGTACCGGGCCCGACTTACCAGTGTCGGGCCAGATAGCCTCCCCTAGCCAGTTAGTGGAGGACTAAGAGGCAGGCTAGGGTAGCTAGCGTGTGTATTCCCAGCTAGCCGGGTGAGGGGGCCGATACCCCCTCGAGTGTTATATGCCCACTGTTGTGCTGTGAAATAAACCCGTGTGCCTCCAACTCCGGCGTCAAGAGTCGTCAACGGTATTACACTAATATCGGAAGGAAGAGCGTTCCAGACGGCCGCGGAAGCGCGTCTGAAAGCACGCAATGCAGTTACCGTCTTTCGTGCGATGGCTAGCCAGAAGCCGCTGCTGTGAGGATGACCGGATTTAGCGTGATGGTGAGTGCTCCTTGACGAGAGGTCAGCAAGGGTATTGTGGTTCATTTGTAGCAAGCACTTTGTGTGTAATGAACTCGACCTCGTAAAATAAAAGGTAAAGACGACTGAGCTGTATAGCTCGTATTCAGATGCGACTTGGCCTACAAATGATAGCTCAACAAAGTGGCTTGCATCGTGTGGAAGTGTATCGCGGTCAAGATAATCGACGCCCATATATTTCCAAACGTGGAGGTAAAAAACCAGGGGCACCCGGAGAAAAATCCACGCGACCACGGGGAGTGAGAAAACTCCAAATATAACAGCAGCGGTCAGGGCCGGGCTCGAACCCACGACCTCCTGCACGGCAGGAGAGGCAGTCAACATCCCGCCAAATTCCTCAGAGCACGGTAGGCCTCGGCAAGGTAAGGTAAAAGTGTAAAAACAACGAGCCTACCTTTACCCTACCTTATACCTTACCACAATACAATCACTCTACCCTACCTTTTACCCTTTAGCAGTTAAGTTAAAAGGTCAAAAGCAACGAGCCTACCTTTACCCTACCCTTTACCCTTACCCCTTGGCATGTCGACACCTTTACCTTTACCCTTTTACCCGGTAAAAAGGGTACAATTACCTTACCTTGCCGAGGCCTAGAGCATGGCAATACCCGTAAACAGCTGAACAAAAACGTTCCCGACAGGAACCCGGCGAGCGATTGCGCGCGCGAGGAGTGAAACGATCGTTGGGACTACCTGCATCTCGGGGCTGAGCACGAACACGTTCAGCCGGCCCTCCTTCCTGCTCACCCTCGTCGTCTCCTCGTGCGTCTTGGCATCCTGCGCGCAGGAGACATCGCACCCCCAACGTGATCCCCCCATTCCGCCGGGCTACTCGGCATCTCGCCGCGCAGAAACCACCCCGGTCTAGGAGGAGCTCTCGGGAGGTGCACCACTTTGCCGCCGGGGGAGAATGGCCCTGGCATACGACCGGAGCGGCAGCGGGCCTAACTTAACGGTTAGTGGCAACCGGGAATGACCGGTGGAGAGCCGAGTCTGGTGCGTGTTAAACATCGACAAGCGGCCGGTGATAGAATAAGAATGGTCACCGTAGCAGCTCTATACCGTGACCGGCAGTGAGACTCACCCTGAGACTCACCCTGACACTCACCCTGAGACTCAGCGTGAGTTTCGTCTGTAAGCGAGACTCACCCTGACACTCACCCTGAGACTCACCCTGACACTCACCCTGACACTCACCCTGAGACTCACCCCGAGACTCACGCCGAGACTCAGCGTGAGTCTGGTCAGTACGCGAGACTCACCGTGACGAGCTGCAGCTGAATATCGGAGCTCTCGCACGACTCCGCTGCATCAGGGCAATCGCTGTCATCTGCACAAGAGCACACGGTGGACAAATCGCTAAGACATCACCACCACCACCACCATCCCCTCTACCACGCTCATCAACACCACCATAAATACAGCCATTAACAAAACAACCAGTATTATCACTACAACCAGCATCACCAACGCCATCATAACCACCACTATTAGGACTATCACCACCACTCTCATCATTGAGACCACCAGACAAAAGGCGAATATCCCCCGTGTAGCCATACAGACTGTTGGAGCGAGTGCTGCTAGCGGGCGCCTATTAAGGCCTACATGGCACACGAGGGGGCGGTATGGTCAGTACCACGCCAGATCATGTTTAATTAGGACAACCACCACTATCATCAACACCAAAGCTGTTGGGGAAAGTGCTATTAATCAACACCACCACTATTGACAATACAATGACCACAACACACAATGATTCATGCACTCCCACTTTGCTTGTGTACACTGATGTAGCGTTGTAAGGTCGTGTTTCTGAGCATCTTTGCAACATCCTTTCAGCAATATCCCTGAACTCGTTAAACCCACTTTGCTTTGACATCCCATCCGTACGGCATGGAGCCTTCATGCAAACAGATGTACGAATCACAACCGGTCTCTGATGGGGTCTCTAGACAATAGACAGACAGAGCGGTCTCTGATGAGGTCTCTAGACAATAGACAAAGAGAGTGGTCTCTGATGGGGTCTCTGATGGGGTCTCTGATGAGGTCTCTAGACAATAGACTGACAGAGCGGTCTCTGTTGGGGTCTCTCGACAATAGACAAACAGAGCGGTCTCTGATGAGGTCTCTAGACAATAGACAAACAGAGCTGTATCTGATAGGATCTCTAAACAATAGACAGACAGTCCCAGACACTGATGAGGTCTCTAGACAACAGAGAAATAGTCCTCGTCTCTGATGGGGTCTCTAAACATTAGACAAACAGAGTGGTCTCTGATGGGGTCTCTGATTGGGTCTCTAGACAACAGACAGACAGTCCTAGTCTCCGTTGGGCTCTCTAGACATTAGGCAGTCCCGGACACCAATGAGGCCCTCGGGACAACAGACGGACAGGGCGTCTCTCTGCCGGCAAAGAACAAGAGAGACTCTGGACGTCCACGCACCTCGACTCTTCCTGTCCGCCTCCTGGGCCTTGTTGTCCTGCATGGCCGCCTCGAACTGGCCCTGCAGCACCTTGTGGAGCAGGGCCCTCCACTCGTCCACCTCGGCATCGCTCTCCGCCGCCAGCACCACGCTGCTGCGGTCCATCATCTTGAGCTCGAACGCGTGCCGCCGCAGCCTCGCGTTCTGACGACAACCGCGGCGGCAAAGCGACGGCGTCAGGCGGGGACGCGCCGGGAGTAGTGGGGGTGGTGGTGGGGGGGAGCAGAAGGTTAAGGTTCTAGCGGCGGACGCCATGGGCCGCGATGACGAAGGCAGCGGGGCGTTCAAGACGCGCGCTGGCGGAGGCTTGGTTCACGTTTGCCGCAGTGGCTAGGAGATGTTAGTGACCTCGCCTGGCATGCAGGAGGTCGTGGGTTTGAAGCCGACCTTGACGCCTGCTGCTGTATATTTGGGGTTCGCGTTTCTCTCTCATCATCATCACGGCGGCTAGGAGATTTTAGCGACTTTGCCTGGTATGCAGGAGGTCGTGGGTTCGAACCTGACCCTAAGGCCTGCTGCTGTATATTTGGGGTTCGCGTTTCTCTCTCATCATCATCACGGTGGCTAGGAGATGTTAGCGACTTTGCCTGGTACGCAGGAGGTCATGGATTCGAACCTGACCCTAAGGCCTGCTGCTGTATATTTGGGGTTTGTATCTCTCTCTCATCATCATCACAGTGGCTGGGAAATGTTAGCGACCTCGCCTGGTATGGAGGAGGTCGTGGGTTCGAACCCGACCCTGACGCCCGTTGTTCTCTCTGCCCCTCCTCGTGGCCACGTGGATTTTTCTCCTCCGGTTTTTTTCCTCCAGATTTAGAATCGACGTCACGCTTGTCAGAGTATTTGGCTACGCGAAATTCCAAGCGAGAAGCCACTTCCTTGAGCGATCATTTGTGGCCAGGTCACTTCTCAAACAGGGCTGTACAGCTCAGTGGACCTTACCTGGTCAAATAATAATACATTTATCTTCTTGGTTCTTTCAGTAAAGTCACGTAGAAGGGAAATAATTTTGCTGTGTTTTTCACACCTGATGATGATTGCTTGTGTTGCAGTCGAAACGTCGTGAGAATTCTATTGTTTTATATTTGTATTATTTGATTATTTCCCTTCTACGTGACTTTACCGAAATAACCAAGAAGATGAATCCCTGCAGTCACGAAAGCTTTAAACCAAAATAGTAATAATTAATTGTTTAGTTTCAGTTTTTTGCCGAATTTAGTCAAAAAAATCCTCGCAAACTAAGCAATTAGGAAAGGCAAAAACAAATGGGAGCATCGCCCCCCACTAACGGCAGGCTTATGCCCCCTTGCAGGCCGCCGCTGCGTACTACTGGCCGCTCACGGAGACAGCTGACAGTGGGGGTCACCTAGGTCCACGCAGCGCCGTGTGTAACACACTCGCCAACCTTCAAGCCCGTCGTCCTGCCCGCAGCCGGGCCCTGCCCCCCCACACCCCCCACACCCCCCACACCCCCCACACCCCCCACACCCCCCACACCCCCCACACCCCCCACACCCCCCACACCCCCCACACCCCCCACACCCCCCACACCCCCCACACCCCCCACACCCCCCCACCCACCCACCCCCCCCGCCCACCGGGTTCCTACCGGCACGACGCCCAGGCACGCGTCCAGGAAGATGGAGCCCTTGGCCTCGGCCAGGTTCTTGTCGTCCTTGTAGAAGTTGAGTGCGTACGACCCGTCCGGCTGCTGGCTCAGGTGGAAGAACCTCCGCTTGAACGTCTGCGCGGGGACAAAAACGGACGGTGGGGACAAAGGAGCAGCCCTGCAATTGCCTGCTCGTGCCACTTGCTGATAGCAGTGCTACCAATGGAGAGCAGTGCTACCAGCTGATAGCAATAGTACCAGCTGATACTACTAGCTGATAGCAATGCGATCAGCTGATAGCAATAGTACCAACTGATACTACTATCTGAGAGCAATGCGATCAGCTGATCGCAGCGCAGCCGGTGGATAGCAATGCTACCTGCTGTGCGGTGAGGATTCCAATCTGGGCACAGGCCCCCGAGCGCATCGCTCACCTTCATGGTCACGCTGCTCGTGCTCGTGAAGTTGCCTTTGTAGAGCCAGCCCTGCTTGGTGACGCCACTTCTCAGCGAGGCCATGGACACGGAATCCTGGGCGACACGCGCAGAGGTCACGCACAGACACGGAAGCCTGGGCGACACGCGCAGAGGTCACGCACAGACACGGAATCCTGGGCGACACGCGCAGAGGTCACGCATGAATACGGAATCCTGGGCGACACGCACAGAGGTCACACACAGACACGGAATCCTGGGCGACACGCACAGAGGTCACGCACGGACACGGAACGGTGGACTAAGCGCAGAGGTCACGCACAGACACGGAAGCCTGGGCGACACGCACAGAGGTCACGCACGCACACGGAACGGTGAACGACACGCACAGAGGTCACGCACAGACACGGAAGCCTGGGCGACACGCACAGAGGTCACGCACGCACACGGAACAGTGGAGGACGCACGCAGAGGTCACGCACAGACACGGAATCCTGGGTGACACGCACAGAGGTCACGCACGGATACGGAACGGTGGACGACACGCACAGAAGTCACACATGGACACGGAACGGTGGACGACACGCACAGAGGTCACGCACGGACAGGGAAGCCTGGGCGACACGTGCAGAGGTCACACACAGACACGGAACGGTGGACGACACGCACAGAGGTCATGCACGCACAGGGAATTTCTACCAATGATGTGGTTCGCATCGTGTCATGCGATGAGAAATTTGGAAATCTCACGAAGCTGTGTGGGGGCCATTCTGTCAAAGAACAGCCGCGACGTGGAATGAAAAACAAAAATCGTTCAAAAAGTGGCATTTTTATCCTTTACACAGCAGTGGGCGTACTTTCCCACCAACATTGAAATCCCGGTCAAAACAATTGATGCTAATTTTAATTCTCAAGAGCTGAAATTCAGCCGAAATGAAGTGCAAAACCAAATTTAAATTGATGGGTTTTTTTCCGTGCAGCCATTGGCGATTGGGCAGAGACCACCAACTGACTTTACCTGTGAAGCCGGTTTCACCACAACTCTATCAACGTGAGTCCATGGGCGCCTGTGTATGGACCAGTGATGTGTATGCAAGCCTAAAACTAAAAAAAATATTTTTTATTTTATTTTACCAGGTACGGCCCACTGAGCTACTGTATATATTTCTTTATTATCAGAAGCTTCCTAGCCATCACATGATAGCTTAACGAAGTGGCTTATCATCACGTAGAAGTTTATAGCAGCCAGATGCTCTAAACGCCTGGTTTTAGGAGGTCACGGGTTTAATCCCGACCATGATGCCTGTATATTTGTAGTTTGCGTGTCCCTCTCCCCGTGGCCACGTGGATTTTTCTCTGGGTCCTCCGCTTTTTCCCCTCCACATTTAGAATCTACGTGCACTTAGAGTATTTGGCTGCTATAAATTTCCAAACGATGATAAGCCAAATGTTGAGCAATCATTTGTGATGGTCACGTGGCTTCTGAAGAAGAGCTATACAGCACCTCAGTGGGCCTTACCTGGTAAAATAAACAAGTCTAGTTTTGTTTTTATAGTTTTAGAAGTTGTGTTGTTTTCCCAGCCACTCTCTGCACGCCGATTCCATGTCTCGCGTCACGCCGCTGCTGTGTGTACACGGCCGCTGTGACCTAGGTGACCCCCAGTGGCAGCTGTCCCCCATGATGGATAAGTAGTGCACGGCAGTGGCCTGCAAGTGGGCATGCATAAGCCTGCCAGTAGGAAAGGGCTGTGGCGATACTGCCATTTGTTTTTCTTTTGATTGCCCATCCCAATTATGTAATGTGTGAGCAAGAATGAATTTGGTTAAACAAAGAGAGCCAACTTTTATTTCTTTTTTTAAACGGGAGAAAAAAACTAATTCGGTTGCGAAAAAAGAAATGCGGAGGATTCAATTGGGCAAAGTGGCCATCGCTCCGCCAAGGGCATCTCACCTCGTCGTTCTCTGTGACCTCATCGATCTCGAACTGGTGACTCACGAGCCGGTCCGTCTGCAGGTCCTTTCTGTTTACAGAACAACCGTATGACCGTCGCGGCGTTGAAACCAAAACTGCGAGACGCTATCGCGAAATCTAAACACCACGACACTCGGCGTTGAAACTGAAACGTGAAATACTATCATGAAATCTAAACGCCGCGAGGCTTGGCGTTAAAACCAAAACGCGAGACCCATCGAGAAATCTGAACGCGAGACCCGGCCTGAAAACAAAAACACGAGACCCATCGAGAAATCTGAACGCGAGACCCGGCCTTAAAACAAAAACAAGAGACCCATCGAGAAATCTGAACGTGACACCCGGCCTTAAAACCAAAACATGAGATCCATCGAGAAATCTGAACGCGAAACCCGGCCTTAAAACCAAAACATGAGACCCAACGAGAAATTTGAAATCGAGACCCGGCCTTAAAACGAAAACGCAAAACCCGATGTAACATGTTACGCGAGCCCCCATCACGAAATCTCAAACGCGAGATCCGCCACTGAAATCAAAGCCCCGAGTTACGAGGGTATCTCCGCGACGCGACGCCGCGAGGAGTGGAGGGAGGAGCCTGCGGCCTACCTGGGAAGACGATGCACGTCCCCCGAGTAGGGCTCGTACTTGTACTTGATGACGTGCCAGTCCGAGTTGTAGGTCTTGATGCACTGCGAAAGCGGATGGAGGCCAGATTGTGACAGGCGGAAAGAGAGAGAAAGAGAGAGAGAGCAACGGTTCGGGAGCACGGGCAGTCACCGTGTGCCACGGTGATGAGATGTTAACTCCCTCGCCTGGTACACAGGAGGTCGTGGGTTCGATCCCGACCCTGACGCCTGCTGTATAGTTGGAGTCTGCGTCTCTCTCATCATCATCACGGTGGCTAGGAGATGTTAACTACCTCGCCTGGTATGAAAGAGGTCGTGGGTTCAATCCCGACCCTGACGCCTGCTGTATAGTTGGAGTCTGCATCTTTATCTCATCATCATCACGGTGGCTAGGAGATGTTAACTCCCTCCCCTGGAAGGCAGGAGGTCGTGGGTTCGATCCCGACCCTGACGCCTACTGTATAGTTGGAGTCTGCATCTCTCTCTCATCATCATCACGGTGGCTAGGAGATGTTAACTACCTCGCCTGGTATGCAGGAGGTTGTGGATTCGATCCCGACCCTGACGCCTACTGTATAGTTGGAGTATGCATCTCTCTCTCATCATCATCACGGTGGCTAGGAGATGTTAACTACCTCGCCTGGTATGCAGGAGGTTGTGGATTCGATCCCGACCCTGACGCCTACTGTATAGTTGGAGTCTGCATCTCTCTCTCATCATCATCACGGTGGCTAGGAGATGTTAACTACCTCGCCTGGTATGCAGGAGGTTGTGGGTTCGATCCCGACCCTGACGCCTGCTGTATATTTGGAGTTTGCGTGTCTATCTCTCCTCGTGGTGGCATGGATTTTTCTCCGGGTCTTCCAGTGTTTCCCTCCACATATATAATCAACGTGAGCTCAGAGTATTTGGCTGCTATAAAATTCCACACGACAATGAGCCACTTCGTTGAGAATATCATTTGTGATAGCCAAGTCGCTTCTAAGCCCCATTAAATAGTTCAGCCTTACACGTTCTACTGAACTGGTTAAATGTCTACAAAGAGTCTCGTACACCATGCAGCGGCCGATGGACCGCCGACCGCGAAGCCCTGAGATTTTGACCTCATAGTACTGCCATCAGCTGGAAGTATCAGCTGGTAGCATCAGCTGGAAGTATCAGCTGGAAGTATCAGCGTGGTAGCACTGCCATCAGCTGGTAGCACTGCCATCAGTTGGTAGTACTTCTATCAGCTGGCAGCATCAGCTGGTAGTATCAGCTGGTACTATCAGCTGGTAGCATCAGCCGGTAGCATCAGCCGTTAGCATCAGCTGGTAGCATCAGCTGGTAGCATCAGCCAGTAGCACTGCCATCAGCTGGTAGCATCAGCCGGTAGCATCAGCCGGTAGCATCAGCCGGTAGCACTGCTGACGATGCCGTCGTTGGCCTCACCTCGCGCACGAGGAGGCTGGTGGCGTCGGCGCCGTCCAGCTCCGGGACGGCGGAGCGCAGCGTCCTCCGCTCCCGGGGCTCCGTCGCGGGCTGCGTGGCGACAAGGGGTGGTGGGGGGGGTGGTGGGGGTGGTGGGGGGGGTGGGGTGGTGGGGTGGTGGGGGAGTGGTGGTGGTAGGGGGGTGGTGGGGGGGTGGTGGTGGTGGAGAGGTGGTGGGGGGGTGGGGGGGTGGTGGAGGGGTGGTGGTGGTGGGGGGGGGGTGGTGGTGAGGAGGTGGGGGGACGGGGACTCACAGTCAGCGAGCTCCTCTTAACCCTTCCCCCCCCCCCGTTCCGATGAGACACGTGAAACGTCATCAAGATTTTCTTCCGACGCCGTTCCGATAACGTACACGTCCTAAAATAAAGTAAAGTCATTTCTCACATTAACATCACTCCGTTTATGACCCTTGGGCTACACCCATTTTAAACCTTTAAAACAGCCTGCCTCAGCAGCTTTCCCCCTCTGTTTTCCTCCTGATGACGGTCGCTTGTGTTGCGATCGAAACGTCGTAGTTTCCTGCTATTTCCTTCGAACCTATCTACGTGACTTTACCGAAAGACCCAAATAACATAAAGTAACTTCATCGGTTCGTCTTGAGGTCGGTGCGACGTACCGAGCCTCCCCACAAGGGCACGTGGGAGGGCGTGCGGCACGGTTCGGCGCCAGCTAGCGTAGAGTGCGGCGGTCGTGACGCTGCGGTTCTCTGCGACGAGTAACGACGTCTTCAAGAACGACGGCGCTACGACGCCTCTCTGCATGAAAGGCGGACGAGCCGGTACGGCCTGGGCCGCACACGAAGCTTCGCCTGTAAGGGGCGACCCTCCCGGTCGGTCACCATCGGCGGTCGGTCGCGAGGCGAGTTGCGAAGCGATTCCCTCTCACCGGCTTCGCTGGCCTCGATGTGTTGGTGAATCTGGTGTCATTGCGTTGATGATGATGCTCGTTTAGATGTCAATTGTGTTGTCAATGAATCTGACGTGGTGATGCTGATGCTGCTGGTGCTGTCGATGCTGATAATGAGATGCTGATGCTGCCGATACTGATAATGCTGCTGCTACTGATGATTCTGATGCTGCTGATGATTATGCTGATTATGATGCTGATGATGCAGCTATATGTGTGTGTGGGGCAGGCTATGGGGAACGGTGGCAAAGCAGTTAGAGCACTACGCAACGAACCCTGCGACCTGAGTTCCAGTCTCGCTCACGGCCAAGACCAGTGACGATCGTGTGAACTGGTCTTGGGCCTCCTCTATGTCGACCCAGCCTCAAATGAGTACTTGGTGCGGTGTGTAACCATCGCCACCCTGGGAAACAAAAGTCGCCCGGGCGTGGTGCTGGCCACCCACCCCCTCGTGTGCCGTGCCGGCCGTCATAGGTGTTGCTACTCGCTAACAGCACTTGCCCCAACAGTCTGCGAAGGCTACATGGGGGATCTTTGCCTTTGGGGCAGGCTTACCGTGACGTCGTCCTCCGGGAAGAGCACGAGATGCCGTAGCTCCTCTCCCTCGGCGGAGTCGCCCAGAGCGCCCACCACCCTCTCCACCACGCCCTCATAGTCCACCAGCTCCACCTGCTGGGCCTGGGGAACAAAGTGGACACCATCATCGTCTACGTCAGCATCACCATCAACACCGCCAACAACACCGCCACCATCATCGTCACCATCAACACAACCATCAACACCGCCACCATCATTGTCACCATCAACACCACCAACAACATCGCTACCATCATCATCACCATCAACACCACCCCAACAACACCGCCACCATCAACACCACCAACAACACCGCCACCATCATCGTCACCAACAACACCGCCACCATCATCGTCACCATCAACACCACCAACAACACCGCCACCATCAACACCACCAACAACACCGCCACCATCATCGTCACCAACAACACCGCCACCATCATCGTCACCATCAACACCACCAACAACACCGCCACCATCAGCGTCACCATCAACAGCATCACCATCAACACCACCACCATCAGCGTCACCATCAACACCACCAACAACACCGCTACCATCATCGTCACCATCAACACCACCATCACCATAAACACCATCACCATCAACACCATCAGCGTCACCATCAACACCGCCACCATCAGTGTCACCATCAACACCACCCCAACAACACCGCCACCATCAACACCACCAACAACACCGCTACCATCATCGTCACCATCAACACTGCCACCATCAGCGTCACCATCAACACCGCCAACAACACCGCCACCATCATCGTCACCATCAACACCACCATCCCCATCAACACCATCACCATCAACACCATCAGCGTCACCATCAGCGTCACCATCAACACCACCAACAACAACACGAACACCGCCAGCGTCACCATCAACACCACCATCACCATAAACACCATCAGCGTCACCATCAACACCACCCCAACAACACCACCACCATCATCGTCACCATCACCATCACCATCAACACCACCAACAACAACACGGACACTGCCAGCGTCACCATCAACACCACCAACAACAACACGGACATCGCCAGCGTCACCGTCAACACGAACAACATCAACACCATCAGCATCACCATCAACACCACCATCACCATCAGCGTCACCATCAACACCACCAACAACAACACGGACACCGCCAGCGTCACCATCAACACCACCATCACCATCAACACCATCAACACCACCATCAACAACACCGCCACCAACATCAACACCATCAGCGTCACCATCAACAACACAGACACCGCCAGCGTCACCGTCAACACGAACAACAACAACAGCATCATCATCATCATCGATGGAAGGCCCCAGAGGATCAGCTGGTGGCAGCCGATCCCACATAAGGGCACCACGGTCCATGCGCCTGCACAAAGATTCCCCCGTGTGGCCTCAACAGACTGTTGGGGCAAGCGCTGGGCCAGCACCACGCCCGGCCGCCTTTCTCTCCCCAGTGGCGATGTTTTCACATCGCACCAGGTACTACTTTGAGGCCGAGTCGACCTAGGGGAGGCCCAGGACCGGTTCAAATGATCGTCACCGGCGTTGGTGGCCGTGAACGGGAATCGAACTGGGCTCGCCGGGGTTCGTAGCGCTGACCGCCACGCTACTGCTGCTACTCGGGCGCTCCTGTGAAGGCCGCAACGACACACGAGGGGGGGTGGGTGGCCAGCACCACGCCCGGCCGCATTTGTCTCCCCAGTGGCGATGTTTTCACACCGCATCACGTACTTATTTGAGGCCGAGTCGACCTAGGGGGAGGCCGGGGATTCGTGGCACGGCGCAGCGCACGCGTGGCGAGCACGCACATTCACCGGACAGTCACCATGCCACTGGCACGGTGGTCACCGATGACGCCACGAAATTTCCAGCTGCGGTTTGCCTCCCACACTCGGAACACGCGTGTTCGCGTGTCCGCAGGGACGCGCACACGCGCTAGTTTCCCAGACTTTTTGGGCAAGTGCTGTTAGCGAGTAAGGCACCGATGAAGGCCGGGCGGGTTTGACAACAACCACGGCCGCCCGTCCGCCTTTGTCTCCCCAGCGGCGATGTTTCACACACCGCAGCATGTACTCACTAGGGTGGCCGTGAGCGGGAATCGAACTCGGGTGGCCGTAGTTCGTAGCGCAGGGTGCTGACCACTGCTTAGAGGTCGCAACCGGGTACCCGCTACCCGTACCCTACCCAATACCCGGCTACCGGGCACCCGTTTGCGACCCTGGTGCGGCCGGGTACGGGTAGGCCGTGAGTCACTGGTGAGTAACCGTTTGTCACTCATTTCCCAACGTCTTGTCTCTTCTCACAATTCAAGTTCTTAGAATCAACCCACCCGCGCCTGCAACATGGCTTCATCCCAGAGGTCGCAATCAGGTACCCGATACCCGTACCCGGCCGGCCGGGTACGGGTACGGGTAAGGAATCAAAACCCGTTTGCGACCTCTGCCACTGCGCCACTAAAGTTTCCGGGAAAGCATTTGTGTAAACTTTACATAAGTATTCAATATTTGATTCTCAAATGCAGGATTCGAGTGTGCGTGCGTGTGTGTGTCGTGTGTGTGTGTCGTGTGTGTGTGTCGTGTGTGTGTCGTGGACGTCGGAGAGAGCTGGACGAATCATGACATCACAGCAGCAACGTTTTCCAGGCAGCATCACTGCTCGTGGAATATACATGGCAAAGGATGAAAAATAAAGAGAAGGTTTTAACCCTTTTTGCCCACCGTACCTCTCTTCATTATTGACAACTTTCAGCTCAGCACACGGCAGGTGCCTGCGCAGCGCGACTCACGACCTCCTCTCGATACCAAGATCCAGGATGGTCATCGTGTCTATGCGCCGCTTCTCGGTGGCAGCCCCAACAGTCTGGAACGCCGTCACCCCTTTGCACATTCGCAGCATCACCTCAATCGCTTCCTTCAAGAGACACTTAAAACTCACCTATACAAGCCACGTGCTTTCGAGCGACTCTGAGCTTGGCTCCGCGCCTCTGAGTTGCGGCCGTTACGTCCGCAAATTTGCGCGCGTTATAAATTGCATTATTATTATTAAGGTGTTCAAACAGCAAACGGATATACCTTTTGCAAGGAATCAGAAAATGGCAAAGACATCGAACGCCTTGAGGTCACACTCACGTGCCGAGTCTGACCTTCAATTGAACGTTCAGGATTTTTCCGACCAATCCAATTTCACATTCACGCTGTGGCCGAACTCACACAAACACAACCTTTGTTTTTCGATATAAAGCTTTCATGACTGGAGACGAAGTGCCACCCGCTTGGGGTGAAAGCCGAGAGGGGGGAAGAAATGAGGAGCCACGCGCATTTGTCAATACCGCCGTGTGTGTGTGTGTGTCCTTAAACATACTTGCTTATAAAACAGGCGACGTTTCGAGCAATTGACCCCCTGTCTTCCTAGCACATAGATAGGTCAGAGAGGTAGAGTGGATCGAGAGTTGGAAGCGACACTTTTTGCCACGGGGTAGGTGGGAGAGTGTATGAATGTAAAAACTTATTTCGCTCCGTACGTAGCCAACCGTGCTTATCGGGGGTGCGGGGGAAGGACAACAAACTAAGGGGCCGTCCATAAATGACGTCACGCGATTTTGGACGATTTTTGACCCACCCCCCCCCCCCTAGGTGCGTGACGTCATTTATGGACGGCCCCGAAACACAAAAAGCAGTTCTAAAGAAATGAGTTTTCAGTCGAGATGACTCAAGCGTGCATAGCTCCCAGTGTCTTCCTAACATGGGAAGAGCGTTCCAGACGGCCCGCAGAAGCGCATCGGAAAGCGCCACGCGATGCGGTGAGCGTTTTGGTTTGAGGGCCGGACAAAAGGCCGCTGCTGCTGCTGCTGCTGCTGTGAGGGTGACCAGAGTTCGCGTGACGATGGTTTATGTTTCCTGATGAAATCAGCAAGGTGTTTGTGGTTCGTTTGTGGCGAGCGCTTTGCGTGTGTGTGTGTGATGAGTGGGCGGGTGGGTGAGTGTGTGATGAGTGGGTGAGTGTGTAATGTGTGTGTGTGATGAGTGTGTGTGTGTGATGAGTGTGTGTGTGCGATGAGTAGGCGGGTGAGTGAGTGTGTGATGAGTGAGTGTGTGTAATGAGTGAGTGAGTGTGTGATGAGTGGGCGGGTGTGTGTGTGTGTAATGAGTGAGTGTGTGTGTGATGAGTGAGTGGGTGAGTGAGTGTGGAATGAGTGGGTGAGTGTGTGATGAGTGAGTGAGTGTGTGATGAGTGGGTGGGTGAGTGAGTGTGTGATGAGTGAGTGGGTGAGTGAGTGTGTAATGAGTGAGTGTGTGAGTGTGTGATGGGTGAGTGAGTGAGTGTGTGATGAGTGGGTGAGTGAGTGAGTGTGTAATGAGTGAGTGGGTGAATGAGTGTGTAATGAGTGAGTGAGTGAGTGTGTGATGAGTGGGTGGGTGAGTGTGTGATGGGTGAGTGAGTGTGCAATGAGTGGATGAGTGAGTGTGTGATGAGTGAGTGAGTGTGTGATGAGTGGGTGGGTGGGTAAGTGTCTAATGAGTGAGTGGGTGAGTGAGTGAGTGTGTAATGAGTGGGTGAGTGTGTGATGAGTGGGCGGGTGTGTGTGTGTGTAATGAGTGAGTGTGTGTGTGATGAGTGAGTGGGTGAGTGAGTGTGGAATGAGTGGGTGAGTGTGTGATGAGTGAGTGAGTGTGTGATGAGTGGGTGGGTGAGTGAGTGTGTGATGAGTGAGTGGGTGAGTGAGTGTGTAATGAGTGAGTGTGTGAGTGTGTGATGGGTGAGTGAGTGAGTGTGTGATGAGTGGGTGAGTGAGTGAGTGTGTAATGAGTGAGTGGGTGAATGAGTGTGTAATGAGTGAGTGAGTGAGTGTGTGATGAGTGGGTGGGTGAGTGTGTGATGGGTGAGTGAGTGTGCAATGAGTGGATGAGTGAGTGTGTGATGAGTGAGTGAGTGTGTGATGAGTGGGTGGGTGGGTAAGTGTCTAATGAGTGAGTGGGTGAGTGAGTGAGTGTGTAATGAGTGGGTGAGTGAGTGAGTGTGTTATGAGTGAGTGTGTGATGAGTGGGTGGGTGGGTAAGTGTGGAATGAGTGAG